AAGAAACTTTGATGTGACATCTTTGACAAACTGAGTTTGATTCAGAGGAAGTAAGAGCAAGCGGAGCGTCACTTGATCAAAGAGAAGGATCGAATCTTAATCTCTCGCTATAACCTACAAACGTATCAAATACGCTTTAGACATGAAACGGCATCAGATTCATAGTCCTATTTCTCCCTTATGATATTATTTGGAAAAATATATAAGTAATATATTGGGTTCAAATACTGTAGTGAATGAATCTTTCCAGACTGTGCTACAGATCTTATAGTGAAGGAAATAGGAAAATCCACCCAGAACATGAAAGTACACAGAAAAAAAACAGAGGCGAGACCTTTTCCAGAGCTCCTTGGCTGATGGCCTGTGTCGGCAGCATTAGGGTGGCGTCTCCTGAATGAACTCCAGCGTCCTCCACGTGCTCTGTGATGGCATGAACCAGCACCTGGAAGGACATCAAATATTAAATCAGCAGGAAAAAACAATCAAGAAAATCTGAGCACTCCCCTCTCTATCCTAAATAAGTTTTCACCCCACCAAAACAACCAAAATCTTACATGACAAAACCAAAAATAACAAAACTAAAACAAATAAAAACTGAAACTGAACTCACTGATGAACTCACAGATGTGCACATGTACTTGAGAGCTTGATTAACTGTTTGAGGTGCCTGTATTTGAATACTGAAATCACTATTTGGATACTCATTATGTTTCATAATAGGACGACTAAGAAAATATACAGGCTAATAGTTCAGTGACACTTTAAAAAATAACACATGAAACTTTTGCTCATATTCGTGATTATGCATGTTTTGTCATACTTTGCTTCCCCTGAAACATGAGTGTCTTAATGAGAGTGTATTGCCAAGGACACATTGTTAAAGATGTGAGAGGGCAGAGAAACTATGGTTTTCTTGCAAACTAAGCTAACTGTTTTAGCTGATGTTGGCCAGGTGCAGAAACAGTGAAAACACATTTCTCTGACAAACTAACATGTGGGAACTTTGCCCACTGAGGAGAAAAGACCCTGTGTTAAATATGACAAGTTATCATCAGCATCCAGAGTTGTTCAGGTTAGCTTCAGCAGCTCAGTGGCTCATCTAACGGAGTCTCTGTTATTCAGCTGACACAAAAACCTAAGCTCATTTTTGAATAATAAAATGTAACATTAATACAATAATTAGTGATTGTACTCAGTTTGTTCTTTTCTAAATCTTTCTAAACCTTCCCTCAACGAAACCCAGAATTAATTCTAGTTATCATCCAAATACCTGATTTTAATTTTAAACAATATTTCATTATGTTAAATGAAGCGTGCTGGTGATGGAACTGAATAAATCTATATCATGACTGGGGGCGTCCAGGAGAAATCTAGCACCAAACGTCCTCAAATCAGCTCACAAGATATCATCCACTTTTTCCAAAACGTTTTGTATTACTTTTTATATATACTCTACTGTAAAGATATATGGTTTTAAACAATGTGCTTAGGTACCTAAAACTTTTGCATAGTACTGTATTTAATAAATTGAATACTGTTAGAAGTTCATCTAAGGTATAACTTCACAAAATTTAAATACATTAGACCAATCAGAACAAGTGGAAATAAGGTGGTTCCTTATTATCTTAAATTTAATTGTTGAATAAACATGCTAGATTGCTAGCTCTCAAACCACCCTGTTAGTCCTAGATAGCCATGTGTATCCCTAAACAAAGCTCGCTATCTGATGCTACAAAAATTTAATAACAACCATTTTTAAAACATCATTCCTCCAGCATTCATCTAGCAAACTAAATGGCTAAGAGAATGGTGGCTTTCATATGGATTTATAGATGCATGTCATTTACTGTTGCAGCATGTTGGCTTTCAGATGAACACTGTCAGATTTCTGGTATGAAATGATTGTAGGAAAAAAAAGCACTGGAAGCTGGGAGACCAGAAGGGGAGAGCAAAATAGCTGCATTCAAAATGCAGTGTGTAACATTTGTTTTCATTAAGGCTGTTATTATGGGGGGATAACATCCCTGTTCCAGAAGGTAACCCACAACAGATGAAAACCTCCATCTGCTGCATAATGAAGTCACTCTTGTGTGGCTCTGTGATTCAGAGACACAGATTCAATCAGAATCAAGTGCTTCACATTTCGCTTCTGACCGATTTCAATTTAATGCATCCGGGTTTTGCTGATCTTTGCCCGATAAAGTTCTTTTTTGCTTTTATCTGTGTTTCATGAGTCATATAGCACCACCTCCAACCACACACACACACACACACACACACACACACACACACACACACACACACACACATCCACAGAACTGCATATATTATAGAAAAACGTAAAAGTAAAAAAAGCAGAGAGTGTCCAACCTTGCCTGCCTTGGCCACTGCGTCCACTTCAACCTCTCTGGCCCCGCGAATGAACTTGGTGATGACCACAGGATGCTCCTGCATTAGCAGTAGACAATAATAAAAAATGAAAGTACTGCTAGACCTGTGCTTTAATCAGCCCTTTACATTACTGTAAATGGCATGAAATGGGACAAGAAATAAGAGCATTGCTTTTAGGAGAAAACACTTACATTCATATGCAAAAGTCTGTGCGCCCCCAGTCAAACTGCGGAATTTGTTAACCTCTTACTGACCAGGGTATATTTTGGTTTTTCCATCTGAATTTACACGACCAAATCATAAGGCAAATTATTCAGTAACTGCATGAAATAATTGTTAATATTGTTATTTATTTATTTTTTGGTAAAAGCTCCCCTCAAATTAACATAACATGTGTTTTATGATCACACATATTGCTATATGCTTACAATTTACTGCTGAAGGCCAACAATCTTAGATGCTCTTTGTATTTTTTTCTAAAAATAATTCTTACAGAGCAGATCACTGAAGAGACGCCATCTGTTTATAGTTTATAGCCCAGATTTGTGGAAAAATGGGTCGACTTTCAGAGCACCCAAACTACTGCATACGACTGTAAGGCCAAAACATGTATTTAGACTATTAAAATCGAAGGTGCTAAATGGAATCAAATAATGCATGCATAAAAATAAATGTATAATGTAAATGTTCTAAACCAAGCAAAGGGTCTTTCTAGAACCGTATGTCCAAATTAGGAACCATTTAGACAATTCTTAGAGAGTGCTGAAAAATATATTTTTTACAAGCAGCCTCAACTTTAAAAATAAAAATGCTAAACAGGGTTCTTTGCACAATGGCACAGAAGTATAAAGAACCTCAACATAATGTAAAGGTACTAGGAAGAACCCTTACATTGGCACAGAAACTTTATATTGTATTTAAGCATTTATGTGAGCCTTCACTTTTAGAAATCTTTCAAACAAGGTTCTTTAGTGAAACAAAAGTGGTTCTTACATGGCATCGCATAAAGAACCCTTTATCACCTTTTTAAAAAAAAAAAAAGTGCAATGCAACATTTAACTGGTAACACAGCCAAAAAGAAAAGGAATAATCCCTAGTCTCATGACTGTACAGTGTGGGGTATCATGTAAAGTTTACATAAACCAGCACACAGTATTTGCTGAAACACAGTAGGAGAATCAACAGGCACATCTGTGCGGTATCCATGCGTTGCCCCACAGAGTGTAGGGAAACAAAGGAAACAGCCAGTGACGACGGGTAGGATTCAGCAGGACTCTCAGCCTGACAATGTGCTTCCTTTCTCTGTATCACATCATTATCCATCATTATGGCCTCTATGAGTGTCTGTGACAGCGACTCTCACAGCTACAGCGCTAATGAATATTCCACTGATGTTCCACAGACAGGCGCTGTATGTGTGTGTGGCATCTCTCAGTGCAGGTGTCTTGCTCCATGCTGTGTGGTGACTGTGTGTGTACTGGGGTTATACGTATCAGACCGAAGATCTCGGCCCAGTTCTGGTCTTTAATGTCTGTCCTGACAACTCCACCCTCTACAATGATGTCTGGAGCTGGTAGCATTTTGATGTGGAACTGGCTGAGCTCAGCACACATAAAAGAAGAGTCTGCTTTGTGATACTTTTGATTTTTTGGCCATTTTTTTATTCAGTTTGAAGTCCTATTGGAGCAGGATTAGTTTTACCTGGGGAGGTTCCACAATTTAAGTGATTACAAAGGAGATTTCTAATATTAATCCAGTGTGAATCTGCAGTGTGTGTAGTTTAACAGTCTGACGGTAATAATTGTGGAGTGATTTTAATCCAGTATGAATCTGCAGTGTGTGTAGTTTTACAGTCTGACAGTAATAATTGTGGAGTGATTTTAATCCAGTATGAATCTGCAGTGTGTGTAGTTTTACAGTCTGACAGTAATAATTGTGGAGTGATTTTAATCCAGTATGAATCTGCAGTGTGTGTAGTTTAACAGTCTGACAGTAATAATTGTGGAGTGATTTTAATCCAGTATGAATCTGCAGTGTGTGTAGTTTTACAGTCTGTCAGTAATAATTGTGGAGTGGTTTTAATCCAGTATGAATCTTCAGCATATGGAGTTATTACAGTCTGGCAGTAATAATAGTGGAGTAGTTTTGATCCAGAATGAATTTGCAGTGTAGTTTTAGTTTTTACTTTCTGACAGTAATTAAAGGGCCCTGAATGGTCTTCTGTAATTGGCTGAACTGGAACCTTCCTCAGTAATGGAAATCCTGTTTCAATCCACCTCACTCTAATTGAGCAAAACCTGCTAACAGATTAGTGCTGTGCGGTGTGTCGTTATTGTTATTGAGTGTATTGTGTGACGCGATGCTGCTGTGAACATCAGAGCTATGACCTCTTAATTCAGGCTGCCTGTGGGAATTTAAGGAAATTACACAGGTACTTCATCATGGAGAAAACAGCCAATCAAAACATGACACAGTAAATTGCAGAACATCCTCTGGGAAAACGAATCCAGCTCCAGTAGGGCTTAAGAAAATTAATGTGGTCAGGTCATACAGTCCCCTGGACTCTGTACATCATGTTCTAAATACATATGATTCAGTGAGCAGAGCAGAGGCTGATCTGAGATTAGTGCTCTTAGAAGCCGGTAAATAGGTGTTTGAGCCAGTGATTCAGAGGAAGTGCAGGTGAACTGCGGAGTCTTAAAAACAGAAGAGGAAGGACCAAAAGGGAGAACGGGGGAGGAGGGCACATCTGCTGCAAAGAAACCACCCTCAGAGAGAAAACATGGTGGTCTGATGAGGTGCCAGGTAGGACAGAGGGATAAAGAATTAAATAAGAAAAGGGGGGCTAGTGAGAGAGACAGAGAGAGAGAGAGAGAGAGAGAGAGAGAGAGAGACTGGGGAAAAGTGAGAGAGCTCAACTGTGAGGCAAAGACCAAGAAAGTGAATGCAAGAGAGAGAGTGAGTAAGAGAGAAAGTGAGAGGGGGAGAGACAAGGGAAGGGAGGGAAGAAAGATGAGGTAGACAGAAAGAGATGAGGGGAGATTGAGAGAATGAGGAAGACTGGGGGCTAGATTAGGGGGATCAGAGAGAGAAAGAGGGAGAGACAGAGGGACAAGGGAGAGCGAGAGAGATAGAGAGAGAGAGGGAGAGAGAGGGGGACAGAGAGGGAGGGACGGACGGGGAGATCGAGAGAGGGAGAGAGTAAGAGAGAAAGTGAGAGGGGGAGAGAGAGAGAGAGATAGAGAGACAAACAGAGAGAGAGAGAGAGGGTTAGAGGGAAAGACACAAGGACAGGAGAGAGGGCGGGGGCAGAGGGATGGGGGAGAAACAGAGAGACAGAGAGACGGATAGAGCGAAAGACAGGGGAGAAGTGAGAGAGCTCAAGTGGCAAAGACCAAGAGAGTGAACAGCAATATAAAAGAGGGAAAGCGAGAGAGAGAGAGTGAGAGAAGAAGAGAGATATGAGTCAAAGAAACAAACAGAAACATGTTGTGAAGCCGGAGGGGAGATGAACACAGGCTAATTGAGTGCATCGGAAGGCTGTGTGCATGTTTACACAGAAAACCCAATCAGCGTTTTCCTGGAACTGTTCACTGTTCAACCATGTACTGTTAATTTCACAATCAGAATGTAATCACAGTCTCTGCTATAAACAATGTTACATAAATAATCATAAATTCAGACTCAATAACAAACTGCAGTTAAACAGTTTGTAAGAGTTTGCGTACCAAAAAACAGTCATAATTAATTTCTGCCTGACCATTTTCCAACTTTCTCCCTTAGAATTTAACAGACTGTTTTCATAACAGCGCCTTCAAGACTGATATGTAAATGACCTCTGTTCTGATTGGCTGTGCTATATTGCATCTCATTCAAAAACAATCCAGGATGAAACATTCCTTATAACTTCAACAGGGTGGGCTAAACTGCTGTAGGCTGAATAAAAGAAAATATGCAAATGCATTAATAAATATTATTAGGTTCTATATATGGCCCATATGTACTGGAAAGAGAAAGTTATGTTTTTATAACAATATCAAATCTTATACACAACATTAAACTTTACAAAAAGTGAGGAAAATGTGTTTTCCTTGATTTGGGCCTTTGAACATAAGCAGCAAACCAATACAAAGTTTGGCCAAGAATTTTAAAAATGATTCTAAATTTACTACGACTCTGTTGAGAGGGACGGATCCTAGATCAGCACTCCTAATCTGAGAAGCTTTATGATTATGGGCCAAGGGAAATATTAATACTTCACTGTCATAAGAGAGAAAAGTGCACAGATGGGCTGGTAGTTAAATAACAAACACATCAACATGTCATTCTTAAACTACATATGGGACAAAGACTGCTCCTTGGGCTCTGTAGCGCTTCTCCACTTCTAAGCCACTGCTTTGCTGAAGTGACATGGAAAGACTGCCTAAAATCAATAGTGCCCTCGAGGTATTGGGAGGCTCAGGCTTTTGGCAAAACGCCCAGACACACTTTCATATGAAACAGGTTTAAGACTTTTTTTTTGTCATGACCAGGTCATGATACTCTGGGTGAAAGAACACTGTTGCTACTTGGAGACGCACATATTGATATTTTATTTTTAAATACTTTAATGTGTATTAAGCCCATTGGTGAACTAATAAAATATCAACATTTATTATAAAAATGTATTATTTTTGTGGTCCACAAGACAGCACTGACAAGTGACAAGTAGTATAAAGTCGCAGTATGTTACATCGCAATTGGCAATTCTTGCATGACCGAATTGGTCAAAGGTTTGGACACATCTACAAGAGAACCTCACGGAATCGGCCCTTTTCACAAGAAACAGAAGTGCGTAACCGCTGGGTGAAACAAGTTCCGCTGTTGCCTTTCAGACAGTTTCTAACCTCAGAAATACAGGCGTTCGTATCACTTCAGACACCACAGAAAGGTGCGCCACTTTATCTTTGTCACAGCTGCCAAGATAGAAATTCGAGGATGTGTCCAGAATGGTTGGAGAACCAAACACACAACAATGCGGGAGTCCAGACTAAATAAACTCCTTCACAGCTGTCAAGAGTACAGTCATGTCAGCTAACGTCTAGAGTGATAAATCAATGGTGGTGAAAATAACTATAACCAAAACACTAGATTAGCCATGTTAGCTGGAGATGCTGAAACAGCTCGCTAACAATAAACTAGTTAAAGTGGCAAAAAGCTGAACACGCGCACATCCTGGCAGGGGGGTGCGCAAAGTCATCAGGGTCTGCAGCACCACTGTTGACTTTTTCTTATTTGGGTTTATAAGCTCTCAGCTGGCTTTCTAATACGTTTAATATGCAACGAGAAACTGTCAAACACTAAAAGGTTGCGAGGCTGAAGTCGCTTCTTGTTTGAATTTCCCGTTCCACCTTAAATGGTGCAGGGGATTCTGGCAGCTCAGGCACCATTTAAGGTGGAACCACCGGCACTAGTGAACGAACATCTACTCTCCACTGAGCACTCGCTCTCTCAGTCACTGATCTTTTTTTTCTTTTGTTTGTTTTTTGTTTTTCATTTTTACCCAACTTTCTCCCCAATTTAGTCGTCTCCAATTCCACCCGCTAGTTAGGACTCCACCAGACACAGTATCAATGCTAGGAGGGCGAAGGCTAGCACAGGCTGTGAAACCAGCCACCGCATCTTTTCGAACTGCTGCTCACGCAATGTCATTGGACAGCTGAACGCGCTCGGAGGAAAGCGAAGAACCGCCAGATCTTTTACGTCAGCTAACAGACGCCTGCGCTGACCAGCATCGCATTGAGTGATGGGGGGAGACGGAGGGGCCATCCTACCCACCCAGAGAGAGCGAGGCCATTTGTGCTCTCTAAGACTTCCGGCCAAGGATGGCTGTAGCATCACCAGGGACCGACCTTGCGATCTCCTGATGACAGGGCCAACGCTTAGACGGTTGCGCCACTCGGGAGCCCCAGTCGCTGATCATCATTTAGGGAGAAAATTAAAACTGTTCCTCTGAAAGCGGCTGTAGCAGCAACTTTAAAGCACGAACTGCATCCAGTGTAACGTTAGTCAGCATCGTGAAATGCAGACACAGAGGTTCTTTTACTCCGTTTGATAAAGTTTATTCCTTTATTAGCTGCACAAACTCATTTTCCGCTGCTCATCGTCAGCTGACAAACCACTGAAACTGAGATGAGGCTGTTTTTGCTTCAAGCTCTAATACTTGAGTGAGCTGTATACTCTCTACTCATCATTGTTGCTATTGTAATTGCTTTAGCGGAGGCAGCGTTACCCTGTAACGAGAACTTCTTACGGAAAAAAATAATAATAATATCAAAACTATAAAATAGCCTTGTATCAAACAAGACTATTTAGACCCTGCAGTCACAACACAGCTGACTGGCTGAAATGTGCTGGCAAAGAAAAACATGCCACTAATGAGCTTTTAATAAGAAGCACATAATAATTAGGATGATGTCATGAATGTGATTCCAACTCTATATTTTCCAGTTCTAAATCTCACTAAAGTCCTAAATGAAACTACTTGTTTGGAAGCTGTAAAACCAGCCCGTTTGGAATTAATTGTTTTTGGATTGTCACAAAATCCAACCCATTAATATATATGGCAATTCCGCCTACAGCTGTTTAGCTGAACCCATTAATGCTGAAGTTACAAGGAGTGTTTTAGGACTGCTTTTTGAATGAGGTAAAACACAGACAATCAGAGCAGAGCTCATCTACATATATCTGGCTTAAAGGTACAGTAACAAAAAAAAACCAACTTGTTTAATTCTAAGGGTGACGAGAGACTGGAAAATGGCCATGTAAAAATTAATTAAGACCATTTTTGGTTCAAAAACCTCATGGAGAAAGACAATACATGCAACATTTAGGATGTGGGATATTATTTTTTTCTTATTTTGGAGATAATTCATATGTAGTCATTCCTAAAGATTTTTAAAATGTATTGGAAACAACTTTGAAACCTTTAAGCATAAGCTTTCATCAAAATGTCTTCAAATGTGTTTCTCTCTTAAAACATAGTCAAGTGTGTGCACAATTTGTTTAGAAGGCTCCATATATCATCTCAAAAAATGTTCACAGAATTGTAGTGTAGCATAGCACTGTGATAAAACAGGGTGATTCAAAAAGATTCATCCGATTTCAAAATGATTTATTTCTCTTGTGAATCATTAAAGAACAATGCAGTAAACTGTAAATGGTTTAAATGAGCATAAAGTTTATTATGTAATTTTACAGGTGCTCAATATGAACCTCCCCCAGCTGTACAGACAACATCAACACCATAGTCAAATTCATCCCATACTCGATTGAGCATGTCGGGTGTCGCTGCACTCACGGCTCTTTCAGTGCGATTTCGGAGATCATCCAGTGTTGTGGAACCAACGACGAACACTCTGAGCTGTTGGAGCTTCACTGCCCACGAAAATCACGCTGAACAGTTATGATGGATTCACTCTTATTGAAGTGGAGAACGCAGAACGCTTTCTGCTCAGGGGTCTCATCTCCTCTCAGACTGAAGGGAGCCGTCTTCCGGTGACGGTCAGAAACTCTATGACTTCCTCTTTCAATTGGATTGTGATTGGTTCCTAGGTGCCTCATGGTTGTAAAAATATGACGCTTTGAAATCGGATGAATCTTTTTTGAATCACTCTGTAGTTTTGTGATAATATTGTATCATGGGGCCTCTAGTGGACCAGAGCCTACTTTATGCAGTCACATTTTTTACGAGTGGCAGTGAGTAAGCATTTACACCGGAATGAATGAAACAGATTCATCTCTTAATAGCAGCATCATCAAAGGATGATGGTACTTGGGAGAGTTGTGATTAGAGTTTAGGTCTTTATTACAGTCATTTAAGTTTGTGTTATGGTATTATTTCCTACTTGCTGTTGGTCGTAAAACTGAAGTAGTTCAGCGTGGACCAGTGTGGGGAGCGAACGGCTTACCTGTGAAACCTGCGCCGCCTCCTCCAGAAAGCGTTTCATCTCCTCCTCCCCGTAGGCCACGTTCATCGCAGAACCACTGAGAACAGGAAAGGGGGGGGAGGGACATCTTCATATAAGACAATAAAGACACAGAAAACGACTCTAATAACTTCATTTAAGGCAGACGCATCTGCTGTGCCTAAATTAGCCCTTGGGGAGGGCAGCGCAGTGACACAACAAAAGATTAAGGAGTTGTAGAATGAAAACACAAGAAGGGATGAATACAAAACAGAGCAGGGATGGAACAATCAAACGGCGAGAGATATTTGGGTCAGCCAGCCCTCCGGCACCTTCAAAGTTTTGTTTCTGAAGCTTCTTGTATAGAAACAAAAGGGGGAAACAAAAAAAAAAGAAGTGTGAAGGGGAAAATGTGGAGTTTTTAACTGATTATGATTTCGTGCCAGAATTGGAGGCAGAATGTTCTGGCTTTTTGGTAATGTAGTAAGCACCACCTCTGCCAAAAACAAACCAAGAGTTTTGTCAGAGTGATCCAAGACTACTTCTGCCTGGTCCAGAATCTGCAACATTCTCCAAATGTCTTTTAATCCACACATATAGCTGGATTCATAACTGAATAGAACAATAAAAGTCTATGAGACATGCTTACGCCAACTGTTTCACACAATGAACCTTTCAACGGTCCAAATAAAAATATCCTTGAAGCAGAAATTCATTCTGAACTCTTCACAAAGACACGGTTATTTCACCCACCTAGTCTGAGTACTTTTGCTGTAGGAACATGAAGACCTCTGAAAGTTCTCAAAAATCGGTTCTGTATAAAGAACTCACGAAAGCAGTCTGTTCGGTTCAAATGAAGTAGCTGCGCCGGGGCGAGCCTGACAGGTTCAGTGTCAGTGCTGTAGTCCCTTTGTGCCACAGCCTGAGGCGCAGCTAGAGCATTATGGGTAACGGTTGTGTGGTGTTATTGCAGTGACGGGGCCTCAGAGACCCCAGTGTGGCCGCGGTGTCCCCAGACCTCCAAACAAACCACTGCTAAAAGCACGGGTCTCGACAGAGCGGTTCAGCTGAAGCATGGTGCAAAAAGCACCTAGCAACAAGAAATACAAAATAATGTTTGACACCCTGGTGTTAAAAGGTACACCGTGCACAGTTTTCCGCGGAAACTTCACAAATTTTCAGGAAACTGAATCATGCCTTTACAAGTGCGGGAAGCTATTTCTGTCATCCTTCAAAGTACTTTCAGTTTCAGTGCTGTGATAAACCATGAGGTCAGTCATGCAATTTATAGACATATGCCTGGAATTTTGTTTGTCTATCGTGATAGGGACATCAGAACCAACAGAATCCTCCACTGGCTGGTTATCTCAGGTACCTGCTGTAGGCAATAGCAGAGCCAGAAGCACAAGCAGAACAATTCAGTGTGAGCTGGCCTGGCAAATGTCAGTGCCCAATAGAAAGACTCATTGTGCTTCAAAACACCACTGAAATGTGAGGTGGTCACTGTCTATTATTATTACTAGTGTAATAAGGTAATTATTCAAGTCTGTGGCACTGCCCATCAAAAGTCTGGACACTGGTCTTCTGTGCTTTTAAAATTTGGTAAGAAACAGTTCCTAGTCAGTAGTGCTGGATCATCTGAATCATCACGATGATCTTACTGTAACTTCTATTTAGCAAATCTATACCTGAACATTAGATTGCATCTTGTACATTTCTATCCATATCGTGTATAATGTGGAATACATACAAACATACACAGACACACACACAGACACACACACACACACAGACACACACACCCCAACAGAAATGGCCGAGAATGACTTGTAAAGATGTCTGGCTCCATTGACTTATATTAAAAGTAAAGTATGAGAGATACAAGGTTTTGTTCCATCAACACACACACACACATACATACATATATACATACATTATATATATATATATATATATATATATATATATATATATATATATATATATATATTATATATATATATATATATATATATATGTTGATGGAACAAAAAACATACTTTACTTTTAATATAAGTCAATGGAGCCAGACATCTTTACAAGTCATTCTCGGCCATTTCTGTTGGTCCATTCATCATGAAATTTAGATATAATGTAAAGGACAACAGGCATTTTTAAATAATGTCAAAAACTGAAAAACTGTAAAATTGGAGATATGAGGTTTTGTTCCGACAGCAGCAATATATATTTTCTATCCCCTTTGTACCCTGCATCTCATTTATTACAAATTACTTATATGGGAAAGTGTACAACCGTTCATATCATAGCTTTTATTTCATAACCTATATTACTATACAAAACTGCACACTGGAATGGTGCAGTACTGGTGTATATTCATGTGTATATTGTGTATGTGTGTATATATTTAGACTCTATTGTGTGTATATATACACATTACAAGTGGGCTATGCACCTAATATTTTCACTCACCTTCACACCTGTGTAAATGTGACAAATGTGATTTGATTAACATAAATAGCAATGTGCTAATCTTTTGGGTATTCAGCTTCAACTAGAGACGGCACAAAACCGCTTTTTCTTTTCCAGTACCAACACTTTTGTACATTGTGGTACAGGATTGGATCACATTCATGCTTTTTTTCCCCTCAAACCAGATCCAGCATTTTTGCTGATATCAGCCCAATACAATACCCATCGATACCAAAATGCCATCTCTAGTTTTATCAGTGTCTTCTTTAGTATGATAAGCAGGTTCTGCCTTTTCTTTTCCAAACTATCGTTAAAAGCACATATTGGATGTGTCTCAGAGGATGCACTTAAGGTAGATTGCATTTCTCAGCCGTTATGTCATGGAAGGTTGTCTCATTCTCTAGGATTCTTCAAGTGTGGCTGAGAAATGCACCGTTCATTTCTGAGAATTTGAAAGGATCCAGCTGGTCTGTCCTTCACGATTCTCAGTCACCCACAATCCATCACACGCAGCACAAAAACATCTAAAAAATTTGTGTTGAGATGCTGCATTATGAATCATAACGAAATTTAAACGTAGTACTTTAAAAGTAAGTTTTAAATGCATTGCACTGCTTGTGTCAGTACGCTGTGATGTGTCAGCACAGTCTACTAAGACCACCTCAATTGTGAGTGACCAAGCACTCAGGAGGAGCTTAAAGATACCAGCATTTTCAGACAGAACGCTTTCTCCTACCATTGCTGCAGGCTTTTTCTTTAAGACATGGCTACTGAAACATTTTACTGAAGGGCAGCATTCGTAAGGGTACCCAAGACCTATATGAGCCTTTTATGCTAACTGACATAAACCTACAACCCCAATTCCAAAATAGATCTCCAATGAGATTTGCAAATCATTGCATTCTGTTTTTATTTACATTGATTTATATTTTACACAGTGTCCCAATTTTTTGGGGCTGTATATAAACATTTATAAAGGCTTATTCCAAGAACTTTAGATTGTCATAAAGGCTATGTTTGTCAATTCTGATGCAATTTCACCTCCGGAAGTGCTATAACAACTGTCACTTGTCGGAATAAGCCTTTACAAATGTCTATATAGGTTTACATCAGTTGTCATGAACAGCTCATGTAGGTGTGAAGTGAAACTCGTTTAATCCGAATTTAAAGGTTTTAGTTTTAAACAGCTGAAAGGTTTAAGTGCTCATAAGTGCTGACATCACAACAATGTCATAAAATGTGCTGGGCTTTGGCATCATTCCCCAAGTTCACCCTTAAAAACCTGTGGTTCTTCACGGGTTCTTTAGTAAAGCAAAGTTTATATATAGAAAACCTCAAAGAACCATTTGAACACATGAATTGTTTATTGCATGGCTAACTGGCTCTGTTCTATAATGGAAAACTGATGTCTATGGATGTTTAAAGAACCTTCTGGATCTATATGGCACTAAAAAGGGTTCCATTATTGTTACAAGTCATTACAAACCTTTTCTGGTACTTTATAAAACCCTTTTTTGCTAAGCGTGTAGGGCTTTTCTCAGATTTCTCTTCAGTTTTGCAGTGTAATGTTTTGTTAGCTCTGTATTTAATATGTTAAGCCACTGCAAACTGAAAAAGAAATCATGCTCTTCGATAATTTTTCTGAAAAGCTAGTTGCATCCAGATTATGAAAGGCAGTGCATACTGTTGCTGTGCTTCAGCAAATATGGTCTGCTGTTCTCTAAACACCCCCTGCTGTCCTCAGCGTAATACATGTGAGGTAGTAACCCTCAAATATAGCAGAGAAGTTCACATGACTGCAATTAAACTTCAGTACAAGCACCAACAACACTTAAAACCTCTCTAAACAACCGGATCAAAACGGACAATCACTGTATGGGTGGTATTTAACGCAAAAGAAGGGGCATCCCAGCTGATTAAATTTAATTGCTTTTTATGACTGAACCGTTTACTGAGCGAGTAAGTGAGTAAACGGGCTGAGGCTCCAGCTATCTGTGTTTGTCCTGCTCTCGGGGCCGAGTGGGCTGAAGCGTCCGTTGAGACAGGCCTGATTTTCTCACTAACTGAGCGCCGAAAACAGAAGCCAGTCATCTGATTATGTGTAAATGAGCTCTTCAAGTCCCACCAATCTGAGGCACTGCAAGCTTTGATAAATTAAATCTCACAGAGACATTACCGCACCCTGGAACCAGGACGGCTGCAGAGGAAGCCCCTGCTTTCACCAATCAGCCACATTACAAGCACCTACATTTGTGTCCCTCTCTGCTGACATCAATTTGCATGCTTCATCAGCGCGAGGAAATGTCAAGTCACTCCATAACGAGAAACCTCATGTTGTAGCCTTGGAATGGAAACAGCTTTAACCCATAAAAAACATCAAATCATTTTTACAAGAAGACAAAAACATTAACTTAAAATCCCATTATGAGTGACTATTACTGTGGCCCTAAGGATGTACTCACCTTAAAACATAGGATGGGCGTAAGAGGCAGGGATAACCCACTTTACTGGCAAATCCAAAAGCGTCTTCCTGAAAAACACACACACAAAGAAATTGGCTATCAAGATGTTCTACACACCATCCAACTGTCTGCGATAGGAAGCAGAAACAGAGAGGATCTAAAACCGTGTCTTCAGACTGCAGCAGGTTTCTCTGAGGATTTTCACTCGGCTCCAGAGACTGAGCAGAAGGCAATTACTGCTGACCAAGTCCACGTCCAGAACTTATAGAACTTTGTGTAGAACTGGCCATATTAGAAAAACTCCCAGACAAAGAGGAAACAGATAAACTGCAGTCAACTCTAACAACTCAAAGGACTTTTTCAGGAATTCAAAAATAAATATAAACAGTCCTATGCAAAGTTTGAACACTGGTAAAATGACAAGTTATGGTGATTTTCGAAGTGAAAATAAGTCAACACATCCTCTACAGGGAACAAACCTAATTATGGCATTTTTCTGCAAATTTTAGTGCACAATTTGTATTTGATGAGTTTAAAATATTGAGAAAATAGAAAATGTGTCAGAACTTTTGCACAAGCCACGTTTTTCCCACCAATGTATAAATTTTTTTCAAAATGTTAAATTGTGAACATACAGAACTAATTAAATGCTAAGTTATCCGCCTGAAGATTTAATTGCCACTTTTTCCCTCAAAGCATTGTGGATGTTAATTTTATTATAATTTCATTCGCACTGTTAGAAAGTTTTCTTTGTCATTTTAGAATTATCTGCAGCTCTGTTCATCCTCGTGGACACTCTATTGTCTAAAATTTCAGTTTTTACAGCTTCCAGCAAAATAGCTGAAACGTATGAAAAGTAGTAGCATCATATTAAATGACTAATAAGAAAGTTATTCATTTTTCAGGAGATATTTCTGAGGAGACTGCATATAAGATCATCCATTTGCATAAAAAGGGAGAAAGTCATAGGAAATACGCAAAAAAACAGGAGTCAAGTTCCAAAAATGATTAAAAAAAGAGAAAACTCCTTCTTCTAACAACCTTCCAAGACCTGATACATCAACAAAACTGCCCCCATCAGATAAACAGCACTTAAAGCTTTCATCTCTGAGAGAGAGGAGAAAATCAAGCTGCTTCAGATCTGAAAACATCCACAGGTGTTTCTGTCCATCCTTCCACTGTGAGAAGACGACTCAGCGCTGTGGGTCTGAAAGGATGTGTAGCTGTTCAAGAAGAACCTCACTAAGAAAAGGAGACGGACACATCAAACAAAGAAGCTGAACAATGGACTGACCACCCCAGAGTCCAGATCTCAACGTCACTGAATGTGTTTGGGATTATTTGGATGGTGGGAAGCAGAAAATGCAAAAAACAACTTCTAAGACTGAACTGTGGAGGTGTGGAAAAACATCCCTGCAGATTTCTGAAACTGAAAGTGAGTCTCCTGAAAACAATGGAAGCTGTAATAAAGGCAAAGAGTGGACACAGTAAATACTGAAAAATTTGCTATCATATTTAGTTGGTGAGGCTTCTGTGTACTTTTCAGTTACATATATGTTTTCTGTTTTTTTTCCTGATGCTAAAAATGACTAAGTCGGCCAGTTTGACTGGAAATTTTATAAATACCGGGTGGTCTCTGACTAACAAATTAGTTTGAACAGTGATTCCACTCCACATGGCGTGTATTGAACTGCACTGCCGGTAGTTCATTTTGTTATTCTTCTGCATAACAAATGTGTTTGATATAATGACATGGATCATTTCACCCCAGTGCAGATTAAGCTAATCAGCAACAGGCTGCATTATAAATGATGAAGCAGATTCTTCTAGAAAACAAATCTGAAGTCAAAGAGGTGCCGCCTGTTACGAGGAGAAAGTGACCTTGTCTCCTCTCTTCCCTGGCTCCTCCTGCTGGCACTCATTCGACCACAAGTGGCAAAGTGAGTGAACGAGTCTCCCCAAGTGTTGAGTTTCAGCCCCACGGCTCACGCAGCCTGTTTCAGTAACCGGAAGTCTATTAAAATGCAGGTGATGCTGTCAGTGAAGGAATAGTAGCTGTCGTCCAGGGGAACACTGCCCTCTCAGTGGCCCTCACAGTCTTCAGCTTCTCGGCCCATGGCAAAAGAGCCGGGGCAGCTAATGGACGTGGCATCCTGCTTCCAACCACAACACGTTTCAGCACTTCTAACATCTGCAGGTCAAAAGCACTCAACACACCTCAGGAGGCTTAGGTGGTGAAAGTTGCATTTCAGAGGCACAAAATGCCACGATTGTTAAAAGGCGACCGGCTCGTGTAGGAAAACTGTTCACATGTATCTTTGAAATTGCCCCTTTCTTGGAAACCTGACGTAAATGGAGGGTAGTAACGAAGATTTTAAAATATAAAGATTAAAATGAAACTAAAAGAATTACATATCACTGTCGTGAGGAAACACTTCTGCAAAACAGTAATTTATTAAAAAAGGAAAAACACTTCGCTGAATGGTTTGGCAAAAGATTACACTATTTTCCATTTACCCCAGACATGGTTGATCGACCGACACATATTTGACGTCCAAATGTCTTTAGTTTAGCTACAAGGCTATCGTAGTTAACCAACACTAGAAGTGAAAAGTGTGTTTCAATGTGGTTTAGGGCACGATATGACTTACTGTCAACTATAAAAAAGGACAAAACTTCATTGTGCAGCTGAACTGTAGAAGTTAGAAGGGGAAGAATCTTTTGCTTGCGCACATGCAGGCAAAGACATCACATTCACGATTTCTGTTGTTTCTCTTTTTAAAAATATGTTAGAAAATTCAAGATTAACAGTTATTTATAAAAAGAAACAACAATCGCCAGAAACAAGAAACAAAACAAAACAAAAAAAAAACAAACATAATCTGTAGCATCCATATGCTTGCGTGACATGCCTGCACGAGAAGGGGAGCCGGATTCCGGCACAATTCCTGTTGTCTATAATAGCTGTCGGCAGCGTTCAGCTACATAAAGTAGGTTTGTTCATTTTTATATCTCACTGCTCACATACTATGTCTTAATCCGCGTCCACAAGTCTGTGCAACTTTAATGAAGACCTGGACGCAGTTTGAGTGGGTTGAAAGAAGTTTTGGGGATTTATTACTGAAAATTATTCGGGGGCCTTTTGACTTCTAGTGTTTGCAACGTTAGCCTTGTAACTCCAGTGATAAAATAAAGTGGCAAAATTTGGACATCAACCATATCTTGGCTGATTGACGACATCTAGGATAAGTGGAAAACTGTGTAAACTGTGTAAATTAGATTTTTCACTAACCAGCCATTTAGTTTAATATCTGTTAATGTAACAATTTTGAAAGGTTTGTTTTCTGGAAATGTCTTTTAGTCGATTCATCATAAATGGCCAAAATATAAACCTCAGCTGACATTTTCAAACAGCCTAAAAAACAGAGAAAAACTGAGTTGAGGTCTTCTTATAACAGCAACACTATCCTGAACAACAAAAAACATCAATAACTTTATTTTTTAAGCTGGTGTCCTGTTGTTTCCTGCCAAACTCAGACACTTTGATTAAGCCTAGAGTCACCTGAGGTAACCTGGACCACAGTCAATTTTTTTTTTTAAATTCAGCAACAAACGCTTCGGAGATGTTGTTTTCTGTGCACCACTGAGATGGCACCAAAAGTGTGGCTGAATAAACAAGAAGCGAAGCATAAATAAAAGACACAGAGTTTATTGTGGTGCGGTGCAAGACGGTACAGATGGGGCTCACCAGGGAGTTGAGGGCTCTCCACGGAGCCTGAGCGATGCCCAGCTCATCCAAGATAGTGGAGAAGACGGAGCGCTCCTCTGCCCGGTCGATCTGCAGTGGGCTCGTGCCCAGAATCTTCACGCCGTTTAGGTGCAGAGGCACGGCCAAGTTATTGGGGATCTGCCCTCCGACAGAGACTATGCAACCTGTGCAGCCCTTGAGAGAAGATAACGTGTTAGATTTCTCACAGTAATCAAGATCAGAGGCGATTCATCACAGTTTAAGCAGAGCTGTAGCAACACATTGATATGAATCTACATACTGTGCACTGAGGGTTATGGAGTAAAAATGAAAAAGCACATCATGATACACTGACTTGGAAAAACTGAAGAGCTGATGATCAATTCTGGAATGTAAAAATGAGCGAGAAGGGAAATGTTCGTGAACAAAGGCAGATAACAGTGTTTGAAAGGTTAAAGCAGTCGTAAACAGCTGTTGACCGCTGTTGATAACTTAACTGGGTTGATATTGTAATGACTGGTTAACAGTAGTGGGTTGTTTATGTTCTGAGAAGACTGTTTAAAGTTTGTGTCATTTAAATTTAAAAGGGTTGTTTTTGTTGATTGGATTTAAATATTGAATACTTGGAGCTTAATGGATACTATGTTATCTCAGTTGCTAGTGTGTTGATAGGTGGTTGCTATGGTATCCCAGGTGGTTGCTAAGGTGTTGCTAGGCCATTGCTATAGAATCCCAAGTGTTGCTAGGCCATTGCTGTAGAATCCCAGCTGGTCACTACGGTGTTGCTAAACCATCACTATGGAATCCCAGGTGTTTTCTAAGGTGTTGCTAGGCCAATGCTATGTTATCCCAGGTAGTTGCTAAGGTGTTGCTAGGACATTGCTATAGAATCACAGGTGTTTACTAAGGTGTTGCTAAGCCGTTGCCATGTTATCCCAGGTGGTTACTAAGGCGTTGCTAGGCCATTGCTGTGGAATCCCAGATGTTTACTAAGGTGTTGCAAGAAGTTGCAAGAATCAAAAATATCCAATAAAATTAACACTCATGTTTGGACCAAAATATATTTTCATGTTCTATCATGTATGTTCCATTACTGTGTGAACAGTTTCTCTAGTCATATTTGTGTATTATCTTTATTTTTTAAAAACAGCCCTGAATCACTTCAAAATATTCAATTCCAAGGTGAAATGTGGGGTTAAAATGCACTGAATAAATAGACTTCAACTGAACCAAATCATTATTTCTTCTGTAAGGACAAAATGTGCAATGAACTCCACTTAGAGGTGTCAAATAAAAGTCAGAAGAGCAACATGCAGATCTGGTCTGCAATTTTTTTTCAAAGCAACACAAGACATGGCCTGTGTTCTGTTTTCTTTACGTTAGTAGACCTTGCAAACAGCGCGTAATGCAGATTGAAGTGAACTGTTCACCGTATCCAAACACGGCTCCTCTGACACTTCTGACAGATGCAATTGTTGCCCCATTGCGCATTTTTATTTATTTATTTATTTTTTCCCCAAATGCTGGTCTTGATATGCTTAATACACCTTTTCATCCGTCCTTTATCCTTCCAAGAATGATGGAGGCAGGTGAGGAGGTTTGGTGCGTGACCCTGAACACTTTCCCTGCACACTCACTCTCTATATCTCTGATCCACTGTGTTGCATTCCCATGGCAACCACATGTATGACCTCTTCATTATTCATGCCCAGGTTTTGCCAGCCCCTCCAGGTTTATATGCTCCCCCAAATACAATGTTAATTACCAGAACACAGCATCTGGGAATTTCCACGCAAGAACCATTTCGTATTGGAATCCTGCTTTTCCTTCCTCCTCCCCCGCCCACCAAACTAAAACGTAAACAAATACTTCATCATCCCATGATCCGTTCGCCACTTAAACCGGCTTATAATGAATCGGAAAAGGAAAAGTCAAGGGGTATTATCAGCCCAGAGGAGACAGAGCTCAGCTGGTGGGGCCTGGGCTCGAACGTGATCAGGTTTTTGTGGTCTCTATGGAGATGGAGCCAGCAGCATCGAGATAATGCCAGTTCGCCTTATGTCCTGAAACGATCCCAGGCAAGTTAATTGCTCATAGGACAAGAGCATTAGGTTATTAGAGCCATGTTCTAATGGCATACCCACACAGACATTAATCAGAGTTCATTTCTGTGAGAGGCTAATTGCTTTTATTTTGAGCACACTTCAGTATAATGGGATTTTATTGGTGGGCTGATGAAAATCTGACTCTGTTGAGTTTTAAAAGGTCAAAGCAAACCGCCAACACAGGCTTATAAACTGTGCAACAGGAGCTGCGGGCCCAGAGGACCCCACTGACAACAGCGTTCAGAGCTGAATAAATATAAAAAAGCAAACACAGTAACATCAGTTACATGTACTGCACTTTATCTTTCTGTGTACTGTACATGTAGACCTATACAGCACTGTGCTAACTACTGAAAACCATTTATACTGGCATTAAGTGCAATTTTACTTGTAAAAACAACACACATCATTAGAATAAACGCAAACAAACATTAAAGAACACCATGTATGATTGGGGGGATTTGGAGATCTCTCTGGTGGACATATGCAATTGCACACAACATGCAGAACATTTTGTAACGTGGGTTGTGCTTCGGACCCCCACGAGCAGAAGAATCTGTATTTTGTGAGTGAGTTGAAAGACAATTCAAAGAGAACTCAGTCAAAACTTGGTGAAAGACGTGTCCTCTGAGACTGTAAGTAAATTATCTACTACTGTCATCATATCTTCATCAGTATAATGTTGCTTTTGCATTTGAGACCCTTCTTTTTTTGAGTCTGTGTGTGTGTCATTAAAATGTAAAGACATATGACATGGTCAGAAACCCCCCCGCCAAATCCGTCCCGGTACCTCTTGACTTTTAAACAATTACTTCAGGCTTTACAGGGCGACTCGCAGCAGCACACGCACACTATATTTTAGTGTTTTCTTTCCTCCTGACTCAGTTATGCTACTTATTTCAGTTTTAATAAAAATAGCACATAGTGCTGATTTAGTGCAGTAAAAAGAAAGTGAAAAAAAAAGTTCATCTTTTGAGCTTGTTAAGCCGCTGTTCCACTGATGGTACCTGCTCGACTCGACTTGGCTCGACCTGCGTTCGGTACCAGCTTTCCACTGCAGATATAGGGTCCCCTCACTGTAGCTGGTTGTCCTAGCGACGCCACATGAAACTGTCGTGACGTGAAGGTGACAAAAGACCAGGAGAGTTTGGGAAATACCAGAGTTTAGTCGACGAGACGATTCAGGTTGCTCAAAAAAGGCCACGCAAAAGGGTACGCTAACCTGGTACATATGTGTTTGGCTATTGGCTCCAACCAATCAGTAGTCTGTAGCTTTTTTTGGTATCGGCTCAGCTCGCTTGGAACCTTGTTGGAGGTAGTACCAAAAACAGTAACTGGTACCAGGTACCAGGTTTGCCTAGTGTAAAACCAAAAAACGTGAGCAGAGTCGAGTTAAGTCAAGCCGGTACCATGCAGTGGAAAAGCGGCTTTAGAAGAATAAAGGTTTGGCTCCTGACCTCTCCCAGATCATAGCATTCACACTGAAAAAAGCAACCAATTAAAAGTCCTTAAGGACAACAGACAAATGCTAAGTGTCTGTTTTCACCTCAGCTAACTTTACAAGCTGTAACGTAAGATGCAGACTCTTCACTGCCCTCTGGTGGAGTTTAGAGTTCAGACATCTTATGGTTCTTAAATATCAAAATGTATAACTATAGAGAGAAGCTAATTTGCTTATCAAAAGTTCTAATTTATCATTTATTTTTTTACTTTTATGACTATTTGAAAGTTTCAAAATTCCAACTCATTTTTAAGACGATCCTTTTTCACGTCTTTATCATTTTATATGTCTTGTTTTTTAGAGCAAAAAGTATCACGGCTGTATTTCCAATATTTTCCTTTTTTTCTGCAAAACCTACAAAACACAGACACATGCATGTCACGTTTTGGCTCAGAGTTTTGGAAATGCACAACAAGAGGGAGGGAGCTGAGCTGTGTATTAAGAAGGGCGTTTCATCTGCACCAGAGAGCAGAAAGGCAGAAAATCTATTTCCTTGGAGTTTGCAGAAACGGAAGTCTAAGTATAGGTGTGTGAAACTCAGTAACAAGCTGCATAACTTCTACTTTTCCTTCTGTCCCTTCTCAGTTTCAGCCTGCTCTTACTTTTAGGATCTGAGACAAATTGAAAGCATTGACTGAACTAAAACTAAAGGCATCTTATCTGATGAATGCTTTGCCATCTCAGTTGTGTTGTAAACTGTATCCTTGTACAATAATGTCTTAAAAGTATTTTATGTCTTCTAAAAATATTTAATTTTTTGTCATATCCAGACATCCTTGACAAAAGAGAACAACGTAAAAGGGAGCACTATTCAAGTTACCCAAAGGGAACAGATGCAAGAGTGACCTTTGGCCTCTCACCTCCTGCTGGGTGATGTCCAGAATGCGCTCTAGGGTTAGCTCCTCGAAGTAGAGCCGGTCGCACTCGTCAAAGTCGGTGCTGACCGTCTCTGGGTTATGGTTCACCACCACGGTACGCTTCCCCATCTGTCTGAGGGCGCGGATGCTCGACACTGCGCACCAGTCGAATTCCACACTGCTGCCTAGAAACATCAACCACCATTCATTCACATTCACCATTCATTCACATTCACCATTCATTCACATTCACCATTCATTCACAACTTGAGATCACTTATGGCAAATCGTTGGGCCCATAAATAGTGTCCATCAGGTTTAATATGTGACTGAAAATCTGACACAAGATAAACTTTTTCAAGGATGTCTGTTCAGTTTCAGCTTTAATGGATTTAGCATGGATTGAACAATAATCCATGCTAAATAATAAATGGCTATATACATAAGTAAGTATATATATTGCGCTGCATGTCCAACAAACTATTAATATTGTCTAAAAACATCTCCATACATTTACCTTCATAAAGATCAATGAATCTGTATGATTATGTAATTTGGCCCCCACATCTATAAACATGACACCAAATGAAACCTTACACAGTACTGTAAATGCTAACCAGGCAGAAACCAGATTCTGTGACAGTTACTTTTTATTTCTTTTTTTAAACTGTCTTTCAAAATAGTCTGAATCACACAGGAAACGCAACTAACTGCAATCTAAGCAATAAAAGTTCTAAAAAGTACCAAAAAAGTGTCTATGAATTGTAACAACAGCGGATGCTTTTTGTAACAAGTGTTCAATCATAGAGAAGAACAGATACTCACCGATGTGATAAGGACCACAGCCCAACACCATCACACCCTGGTCTCTGAAGTCCAAGTCATGCTCCTGTTGGAATGAGGGAAACAACACAATGAAGGGGAACTCCACTGATATTTCAAAAACTCAGCATAAACAAATCATTGAGATGTAAACAAAGTCATTCAGAGTGGTTTGATGTGAAATGGTTCACTGTAAAGAAACTTACTGACTCAGATTTCTTTATAGTGGTAGTGATAGAATTAGAACAGTGGTACCGAATACACTGTATGCATGGCTGTGTTCACATTATACACACCACAACCCTGATTCCGAAGTACAATTCTGACTAAGTTCCTCTAGAACCGAGCCTCAGAACATCAAACCTCTCTGAATGACCGTTTACATCTTAATGATTTCATTATGCAGAAATACTGATGGAACTGCCCTTTCCATTAGAATTCCTAGGCCCCTTTCATGCCTAGAAATGTCATGAAGCAGTTATATAATATACAAGAAAGGCCCTAACAATCTCCATGGTGTATTAAATTTAAATGTTGACTCTGTTGTCCATCTCTGCTTTTTCTATCTCTGAGCCACACTGTGGAGAATTCATTAGGGGTTTCTTTCAAAATATAATGTAATTACTGCTAATATTGTCTTACTAACCATGTTCGTAGTACCAGATATCACTTAATTGTCTGGCCATTTAGGTGAGGAAACCTTTGCTTACCTGGCCGTGGTAGGTACAGTAGAGATAGTTGGTGACGGCAGGATACTCTGCAGCAAGCGTGTCGATCTGAAAGAGAGCAACAGAGAGAGAAGGAAAGAGAGATAGGAGAGGTAGAGAGAGGAAAGCACAGAGAGATCAAAATCAATCTTTTTACTCGCAAATACGCATCATGTACAAGAGGATGTTTTGGCATATTATAAACTGCTTAATAGAGAACCACACTGACCGGAGCATAAAGGGCACTGACATTTCTCAGAGTTACACTGAATAAATATAGGCACAGCTGGAGAACACAAATCACAGTTAGGGCTGCACTACGTGGACAATATACTAGTATTGCAGTTATACTGCAAAACGCCTTACACTATATTAAAACACACTGGTAAACATAAGATTGACCAAAATAATCTACTTCTGCTGGGTTACATGAATACTTTGATTCTTCCAAACACCCACAAAAACTCATTTTGAAACTAGGGCTGCACAATATGGATATAAAACGCGATCTTCATTAAAGTCGTTGGGTGTCACAACGACGATATGAGAAACAATACATTATATAAAAACAGTGTTCCTCTGACTAGATGTAAGGAACTGAAGTCTAAAACATTTCTTTAAGCAAACAGGAAAAAAAATACAACTGACTTTTGCACTAAAAAAATATGATATATAAATAGCTACTTACATCACAAATGCAAGCACATTTTTGTGCACTATAACACTGAAAAGGACACACAGTGTCACTGACGCTGTTATGAGGCATCAAAAGCTATATGACTGCTAAAGGCGCCCCCTTATGGAGAACCTGTAGCCTGCAAAACGTGAGTGAGTTCCAATGATGTGATGTTCAGGATTACCTTTAACTTTTTCTATGCGTGTTAGTCGTGAGGAACAGAATTAAATGTGTATATTTTTATATTCAGTTTACTAAATTCAATATATTCAATATATTGAATATATTGCTGCTGTCGGAACAAAACCTTGTATCTTCATTTTTGTAGTTTTTTCAGTTTTTGACATAATTTGAAGTACCTGTTAAATTTCTTTAAATTGTGTGTAAATTTCGTGAAGAATGGACCAAAAGAAATGACCCAAAAGGACTTGGAAAAAATCTGGTTCCGCTGACTTACATTAAAAGTAAAGTAAAACACACACACACACACACACACACACACACACACACACGTATATACATGTATGTATATATAAGTAAACTCCTTAAAAAGCTCCATATAATGATGCACACAGTCTATGCATTTTACACACAACACAGACAATGAGAATAATCATCAAGTTTGAAGCCGTTTTACTGGCTAGTAATTCAGGAAAGACTACTTTTTAAGCTGTTTGCATTTTGTATTGTGTTGTTTAGCTGAATGGTTAAGTTACTTGTTCTACACAAGAGCAGAGTTCAAGCCCAGCACATGGAAGCAGTTCCACAAAGTTAATTCCATCACTTTGGCACTGCTTGTGTGAAGTAACTCTGATCTGTTCTGCAGCTGTTAACAATGTGTTTATGAGGAAGCTCATTTATCGCGCAGCCCCATTTGTAACTCTGCCAGTTTAGGGACAAACATAAGACATATTTCAGATTATATACTTTTATATATAGACTATATATTTGTTGGTGGAGAATTGTGTAAATTGTTTGAGATACAAATTGCAGCTGTGTAAACATGTATAGTAAGACTGCTCAATTAATTACCGCAAAGAAAGAGAGGAACGAGAAAAGAAAGAGACAGAGAAAAAGAGCTCATTAGCAGAGCTGCGCCTCTTGCATAAAGAGAGGACTAATAGCCGCGATCCTTTGGGCAGTAGGTCCTGACCTGTTTGACCCATGGTCGGATGTTGTGGCTCAGCCTCAGGGTGCGGACTTCTCCCTCAGAGCTGCTCAGGGCCTGGCCTACCTGCCGGTCCGAAAAGCCCTCCTGCTTGGCCTTCAGGAGCACATCACCTGGAACTGTGGAGCTGAGAGCCAGCAGAGAATCACCTCATTATCATGGAACTTAATTACATGCATTCTGAAGAGTTACACAGTTTTTACTAAACAGAAACAAAGATGATTTTACCTCTTCAGTAAGTAAATTCAGCAAGTAACGTTCAACGTTATTGTAAATAATAGCAAGGAATAGTGTATGTTTTTATTAGACGTGACAGAACAAATCAGCCGTGGATGTAACTCTGCTGAGCTGCAACACTCACATACAAACTCTTCGTCAGCAAGACGAGAAAACAAAATATTGCCTAATTCTAACTAACAGTCACTACAGCTCGCATGTAACGCTAAGGCTAGCTAGCTAGCAAAACTCCAATGAACTACTTTGCAAAAATCTAACTAAATATTTTTGGGGCAATATGCTAAATGGACCTTTTGCCTTAACCCGAAATGTAACTTTACATTTTAATTTCAAAAGAAAAAAAAACTAAATCCTCTCAAAACCGACAACCCTTTCACAACCCTACCTTAATCATATATAAATATATTTAACTAATTTTCTTGTAAAACTTAATATAAACGCATACACTGCTATGCAATGACAAAAATATATATCTATATATACACTGACTGAACCCAAAAGGTTTCTGGGTCAATAAATCCAAAGAATGTGGGACTGGATTCATTAAAACTTGCGAAGGTTCTTAAGAAAAACAATAAGAAGTTCATAAGAATGATTTAAATTCAATTCTTGAAGAAAAAAAAAACTTAAGAAGTTCTAAAATATTCTCTTAAGATAATCTTAATTATTTTCTTGTGATTTTCTTAAGAAAATCTTCATTGATTTCTTATGTGGGTTGCGTTGCATTTTACCTCATACCATAAATAAGGCAGGACATATTTTGAATTTGTATTAATTGTTACTTACGTTATTTAGTTTAATCCACTCAGAGAAGCAAATTGGGGAGAAAACATCAAACCAAGAGTTTAAAAAAAAAATTTGAAAACAGGAACTACAGGTGATGGTGGAAGAAAGAGTCAACAGGAAAAAAATCCTCCTTGGAAAATACAATAATTGTGGGGTGATGGCGGAAAGCAAGAGATGAAGATGGGCAGGCGATCGCTCCCCTTGCCCACTTTCGCTGCTGCCCCCTTGTCCACCTCTTACCGCCACCGCCCCGGGTGCCGTTCTCGTCCGGTTCGCCCCCCTATTCCTCGCCATGTTTTCCCCGCCTCCCCCTTGTTCTTTTTCCGCAATTCCTTTTTCCGGCCCCAACCCCCACCCCCTTTCGCGACTCCTTTTCTTTTTTTTCCCCCGGCCCCCTTACCGCCGCCCCTCCTGTGCCTTCTGGCCCTGTGTCCTCCAGCCTCTTCCCTTGCTTGGCCCCTAGGTTCCCCTGACGACACCCATCCACCCGGGCCCTCTTCCACGGGGTGGTGCGCTTCTTATCCCCCAGTTCCCTTCTCTCTCTTCCTCTGGGTGCCCTCTGTTTCTCTCCCTCTCGCCCTCCCATCCCTCTCTCTCACTCTCTCTCTATCTCTCCTCCTCTTCTCTATTCTATTCTCTCTCTTGATCCTCTCTCTCTCTATCCCCCCCCCCCCCCCCCCTCTCGTGGCGGGTAGGTGCTCTCTCTATCTCTCTCTATCTCTCTCTCTCTCTCTGCCCACGCCTGCCCCCCATCCCTTCCTGGTGCCCCCCCGCGTTTCGAAGCTGTGCCGTCTCCCGTTTTGCACCTGCTCTCCTTCATCTTTATCCCTTTTCTCTTTTTCTTCCCCGCCTTTTATCCCCTCTCCCGTCCCCCCCTTCATCTTTGGCCTGCCCTGTTTACTTTTTTCTCCCATCTGTTGCCGCGGCTGTTTTTACCTTCTTTTTCCCGATTCCCCACTCCCCCCCCCCCCATCCCCCCCTGCGCTCCCCCAACCCCCCTTTGTTTGGTCCGCGCTCCGTCTTTTGTTTCCCCTGTCCACGTTTTACGGGTCTTGAACCTTCCTTGCCATTCCCGTGTGCTGGTTTTTTTTTTTTTTTTCTTCTTTCCTTTTTTACTCGCCCCTGCCCCGTTCCTCCCTTCCCCTCCCCGCCTCCACCCCTGCTGTTCTCCCCGCCTCTCCTGCCCCCGCTTGCACCCCGCCTCCGCCCCCCATCCATCCCCTTCCCGCCTTCCTTCCCGTCCTGCCCCGCCCCTCATTATGTTCCAGTGGGTGGTTTCTTGTAGTGTTGTTTTTGCTGTTTGAATGCCTCTGTTGATGCAACACCACAAACATGGGCTGCCAGTTTCCGTGATTCCTGATTGGTGGTTTAAGACACTAAATTATACAACGAATGCCAAAGCAGCGACACAATACATCAGGTAGCCCTGAATAGACAAAAAGTGCTATGAGCGCAACGGCAGGAATAAATGAAAAGCCTCCAGATTTCGACTCCCCCTCAGCAGCGAGTTAGCCGTGGCAGGCCTGAAGTTGGAAACACACTAGCGTGGGGCAGCAGGTGTGCGAGACGCCATAGTGTCAGTCTCTGTGGACAGACAATTTCAACAGCTATCCCACACACCAACTGTGAGCTTCTACTAGAGATGTACTCAGAGTCAGTCAGTGACCTACACAGCACAATAACACTGCAGTGTTTCATATGGATGGAAGATTTACACCTTTGTTTGTATTCCAGGCATCTTGCGGATTCACATTTGGCTGGACATGTCAATAAACTGTGTTACATAGTGAAAACTGAGACTCATTGTATGTCAAACCACAATTTTGTCAATATAGTGAATACTGGAATTTTATTTTTCATAGTTTAAGATATGATACACCAGCATGGATAGGATACGAAAACAGGACATGAAGTAAAATAGCTACCGGAATCATATGATACAATCTCATTTCCAAAAAAGTTGGGACGGTATGCAGAATGCAATGATGTGCCAATCACTGAAACCCTATATTTAATTGAAAATAGTACAAAGACAACATATCAAATGCTAAAACTGAGAAATTTGATTGTTTTTTTGTAAAATAAACTCTTCTCTTAACAGCACTCAGTAAGCATTTGGGAACTGAGTTGACCAGTTGCTGTAGTTTTGAAAGTGAAATGTTTTCCCATTCTTGCTTGATACAGACTTTCAGCTCAGCAGCTCAGGGTCTCCTTTGTCGTATTTTTCGTTTCATAATGCGCCAAATGTTTTCAAAGGGTGACAGGTCTGGACTGCAGACAGGCCAGTTTAACACCCAGGCGATTTTTCTACAGAGCCATGCTGTTGTAAAACATGCAGAACGTGGTTTAAAATAAGCAAAGCCTTCCCTGAAAAAGACGTCGTCTGGATGGCAGCATATGTTGCTCCAAAATCTGTATATATTGGTCAGCACTAATGGTCCCTTCACAGGTGTGCAAGGTCATCCATGCCATATGCACTAATGCACCCCCTGTACCATCACAGATGCTGGCTTTTGAACTGTGCACTGATAACAAGCTGGGTAGTTCCTCTCCTCTTTAGTCCAGAGGATGCAGGGTCCATGATCTCCAAAAAGAATTTCAAATTTAGATTTGTCGGACCACAGGACACTTTTCCACTTTGCCTCAGTCCATCTTAAATGAGCCCAGAGAAGGCAGCTGCGTTTCTGGATCCTGTTTATACATGGTTTCTTCTTTGTATGGAGAGTTTATCTTGCATTTGTGGATGCAGTGATGATCTGTGTTCACAGACAGTGGTTTTCAGAAGTGTTTCTGAGCCCATGCAATGATTTTTACTACAGAATCATGTTTGTTTTTAATGCAGTGCCATCTGAGGGCCCAAACAAAGATCACGGCCAGCCAATACTGGTTTTCGGTCTTGTCCCCTGCATACAGAAATTTCTCTGTATTCTCTGAATGCTTTTCTGATATTTTGTATCATACTTGATAAAATCCCCAATTTTTTTTGCAACCTTTTAGGTTGAGAAAGGTTATGGCTCTTTTTTAGAGTTTTATAGAGTTATCATGTTACTGACCTGTTGCCAGTTAACCTAATTAGTTGTGAGATGTTCCAACAGGTTTTTTTTTTTAGCATTAAACAACTTTACCAGTCTTTTGTTGTCCCTTTCCCAACTTCTCTGAAACATGTAGCTCGTATCAAATTCAAAATGGGCCTATATTTTCCAAAAAAACAATAAAATTTCTCACTTTGATGTACTGTACTTGCACTATTTTACTTAAATATAGGGCCAAAATGATTTGCACATCATTGCATTCTGTTTTTATTTACATTTTGCACAAGGTCCCGAATTTTTGGAACAGGGGTTGTAGGTTTCCAGTGTGGTCCCAAGTATGACTGCATGATGGCAGTCTGACTGGATCAAGACTAAAGTTTGGTACAGGTATGTTAGCACAACAGCACTGTATTTTTATAATACAGGCGTATATCACTGACATCGGCACATCAGTTATTTATGGCATCATTAAAAATGAGACAGGATGATCTCAGCTGGATTTGTGTCAGTGGAGTCACGCTTTTGACTCTGGCATAAAACCCTAAAATGTCATTTGTTTTTCTTATATAACTGCATAAAAAGCAAAGATAAGCACTGTTTGATTGCCTTTTGAAAGGTTAGTCACAAGCCACCGGCAGCTGAACGTCATTGGCTGCGTGTGAAGGTGTTCCTGCCTATGAGTTTCAATGTGAAGAGGGATTCACTTATGACTACACAATGGGAATATCACTTCAGGAACATTGGTATGGCAATTGTGTAGCACAGAACAGTCAGTGAGGTTGACTGGCTGACAATTGGACTATAGTGTGAAAAGCTTAAAATATGCCCACAGTGCCATCTAGTGGCAACCACCTGTAACTGCTCTGGTCCATCTGTCAGTGATGGGAGAGCCAGTATGGCATCGAACACTATATTTCTTTATGTTTGTATTTTTTGCATAAAAGATTTGTGTTTTGCAGTTCACCCTGTGCTGTCCCATACATACCTGCTGTACTGACGCAGGTGCTGTTCCAGCTCTGTAATGCGTCTGAGTTTGTGCAGGAACCATTTATCAATGGCTGTGAGTTCATGTATCTGGTCCACGGTGACTCCGTCGTGCAGGGCCTGGGAAAAAGATTAACACATCTAAACTCGCTGCTGAAAATAAGTCAATCAGTGCTCCAACAAAAATCATGAAGAGGCCAGTTGTTCAGCAAATTGGGATCTACAACAAATTGTTGGGTCACTGTTAAATGAGGAATAATGGCTCTTGATTGCAAGCTGTGAGCTCGCTGCCTCGGCTGAATATAAAAACAGGGGCCCAATGAGCTGTGGCCCACTGTTGCTGTGGAGAGGGGTCCATTTTAGCCGCTGGCCAATCAGCATGCAGCCCTCGCCAGCCTGGCTGTTCAACAGGGGACATAAGCAGGTCTGAGGGAAATTACGCGCTCAGGGACCAACATGAAATTACAGTGGAGCTATTATTGCGAGGCCAACCTTGAGAGTTATTGATATTTCGTGGCTTGATACAATTTGGACCATTAGTTCTTAATAAATCTGCCAGCACCAATAAATTCATTCAACGCTCATGAAATATTTGGTTTCAAATAGGAACAGGCCACTCTCCTAAACTGAGGCAGCATTTCAAGGAGACTCTGAAACAACAACCAACAACAACAACAACAACCATCAGACAAAAAACAAAATGGGATAGTTAGACAGAATGGACATAATACAAAAATCTCTATGTGAATGTGAACAAATGAGAGATCTCTCATCGTGTAGTCAGTGAATAAGCAAATTTCTGCATGCATTTTGCAACAGATGTTGAGTATAACAGGCATACAGCAACATTACCGAAGGCTACTTCCTCAACTGCCCACTCCATGCCAGACCTTACAAATGTATGCAGAAATAATGAAGAATTTTGAAAAACAAAACTACAGCAAAACGCTGTTAGCATTGTTATTTTGTCTATGCATTGGACATAATCATTATATCATGATCAACAATGAGCTGATGCTTAAATCTCAGTAGTGCCATTCAACATAGTTCTAATAGTAAATGCTGCCACTTAAATGTGCACAAACTGGATGCTGGCTGAAGTGGAAGAAACTTCTACATAAATTTGTAAGTGATGAGATGTGAGTGGTACCTTGGCGAGGGAGAAAATGCGAGTGCTGGAGGGTACGGCCAGCTCCTGGCGCAGGTCGTTCTGCTCACTCCAGGCTCTCTTCAGGGGCAGCCGCGGCACAAAGCCGTCCACCGAGGGGTGGCACATCCGCAGTGCCTTTTGGATGCTCTCCTCGAAGGTGCGACCCACCGCCATTACCTGAGACGCAGGGGGAGGAGGAGGAAGAGGACAGGAATACAGAAGAGATGAAAAGAGGAAACTAAATGGATGGCAGCTGTGAACAGAACTATCTGCAGATGTATACAAAGACTTTGTGCCAGACATATCAGGGATTAGAGTGGTTGAACATTCATCTATCAGAACTCCTCTGAAGTATTTGTTGACAAATCAGCTATTCAAATATAGCATGTATGGCACTGGAATAATAAGAATGAAGTAAGTATGATGGAACTGAATGGACTGCGTGGACTGCAGAGAATGTTGAGACAGAAGCAGCTGATATTGCATCTCACTTTAAGAGAAAAGACAACGTATAAACAGAGCTAACAATGGAAATATTTCAAACAAAAATAAGAAAAATGTGTACATAGCAAGTAGTGCAAGTAGGTCAGCTGGTTGTATGTTAAATTACACATGGCTTAAACAGACATACATCCAAGATATATCTCTAAATCCATTAAACAATCAGGTATGGATTAGGCATGAATCACGTCTTATGCTAGCTACAGAAAAGGGAATAAAGTTAAAGATGTATAATGTTGTTGTAAAGCCTGTACCCTACCTATTTTTTATTTTTTTGCATTTTATGTTTCCCCCTGAAGATCACTTCATGAGGTTTGTGTGGTTCTGTGTACCCACAACAGTCGTCATTTATTTTCATGTTACCAATTTCCAACCTCTCTTTATCTCTTAGTATTAAACAGTCTGTTTTGTGCCTTTAACCCTGTTATTGCACGACGTTGCCTGAGGGCAACATACTCATTTTGCTTACTTTACAATAACATTATACACCTTTAACGACAATGACAGGGTTAACAATAAAGGGAAGAGTTTGAATAAGTCAATAAAAAGTATGCATTTGGTCTTACTACTTCTGAGTGGATGCTTTTAAACCTCTTTTTTGTCATGAGAATTTGCAAAAATATGTTTGTTGCCTAGAAGCAACTTTTTGCCGCAGTGGAATGGGTTTAGCCAGTCACAAGCCAGATCTCACCACTTCAACGAACACGACTCTATATCACTTCTTCCCACTGACGCACAATGTTGCCTCAGGACAACATACCCCAAAAGGACCCCTGCACACATTATTATTTAAAAATAGGTTTTTTAATTTATTAATTAGGTCAAATTTATGCAAGAAAAGTGAATTGAATATATTTTTTTGATTTCTCTCTAATGGGTGAAGCAGTTTAAGGGTTAAGGCCGATACCTGTAAATGAGCTCTGTCCTGATTGGCTGCCCTCATTCAAAAAACTGTGCGGACTGAAACACTTCTTATAATTTCAGCATCAATGGGCAGAACTAAAACACTGTAGGCTAAATAGGCAGATACATCACAGAAAGTGTGAATTGAAAACAGGCTGTTTTTGCAGCTTAGTTTCCATGTATAGACTATATAGACTGGGCAGAGAAAGGTACATGTTGAAACGTCAACGGTGTTTACATAGTACATCAAACTCTTACTTCAGAAAAGATATGGGGCCTTAAAATCTTGCTTTTGATTCAAAAGATATAAAATATTTTCTCATTGGGAGAAAAAAGTTGGAATGCCTAAAAACACAGAACAGCATTTATGGTTTTATTTACTGTAGCTGAAACTAAACGTCCAGGTTAAAACCTCCAGTATTTATACGCAGTGAAGATTCAGTCAAAAATCATACAGAACTTAAATACCAAAATATTTAAATTCGATATTTAAATGGTTTTGAGATGCAAATGAATCAGATTCTGACCAAGTAAGAGGGACTGTGCTTGTGACCCAACCTTAGTTGTAACAGTGGTTTGTGTTGTTTATAACACAGAACAGAGAAGTGTTTTTCTGCGAGTCTCTGACCTCTCCTACGCTCTTCATGGCACTGCCGATCTCTCGGGACATGCCTTGGAAGCGGTCCAGGTCCCAGCGAGGGATCTTAGTCACAATGTAGTCCAGACTGGGCTCAAAGCAGGCAGTGGTCTTCTCAGACACTGCATTCTTGATCTCAGGCAGAGGGATGCCCAGCGCTAGCTTGGCCGCTACAAATGCCAGAGGGTACCTGTGCAAGAGTGAGAGGCAGAGAAGTAATCATCTTATATATGAGAAGAAAAGCTCCATGATTTATGATACAAAGGACAGGATTGTTGGAATTGTAGTTACTGGACACCAGATCGCTGATATCTAGCTGGTTTTATGTTTAACGCATTACCGAAGACTGAATATCCTTCCTACATTAGCTTTGTGAGGAAGCGAGACCCTCCTATGCACTTTTTTAATAAGCAGAAAGAATCTATTCTCTTACTCCATCCATCTTCTAGGTTCTTCAGATTGATATTTATTTCTAAATATACAGATTCATTTCACACTAAACAGCAAGAATGGTGGGTGGGTGTTTTCAAAGTCTGGCTTCCAATGTGTTCAACGTTTGGCAGGAGCTATTTCTCAACATTCCTGCGACAACAAACACAAAACCAGAGACGGTGTGAATTGATGACTTCCAACGCAACTTTCAGAAACTTCTGTTTCACAAGTGAAGCTCAAACAACGCCAACTACATCCTTTATCCACATTGCTGAATGATAATCAGGTGAAGAAATGGAGCGTCCTCACGTTTAGCAGCCACGGAGATTAGAGACGGAGGAAAAACTATATCCATAAATCTACACGAATTTAGTATACAGCACTGAAATAACTAGCAGAGTCATCAATTCTAAACAAGATGCCTATTGAAAGCCTGTTTGCCTATCAAAGTTATTTCACTTGCGGTGGAACTTGGCTCCATTCAGAAAATCAGTGGAACGGACTATAAAAACACATCATTAACCCTCTACAGCACAATGTTGCCTCAGGGCAACAAACCCATTTTCCTCACTTTACAATAACACTATCCTAATTTAAAGACAACGACAGGGTTAACAATAAAGGGAACAGTTTGAATATGTCAATAAAAAGCATGTTCCTGGTTATACTATCTCTTAGTGGGCACATTTAAACCTCTTTTTTTAACATTTAGTGTCATTTTTTTTCTTATGAGAATTTGCAGAAATATGTTTGTTGCCTAGAAGCAACTTTGTGCGACAGTGGAATGGATTTCACCAGTCACAAGCCAGATCTCACCACTTAAGGGAACACGGCTCTATATAATTTCTTCCCATTGTCGCACAATGTTGCCTCAAGGCAACATACCCCAAAACGACCCCTGCACACATTATTTTTTAAAAAGTTTTGATATTTAATAATCATATCCATTTTATGCAATATTAATTTTTTTAAAAAATTGCTCTCATAACACGTGCAGTAGAGGGATAAACAAAGATCGCTGCCATCTAAGTAGGCACAAAAAGTCAGACTCATCTGTCTTCTTATCTAACAAACATTATCACATCTGTCTTTCAACATTTTTTGGATGTCCGTCATAAAAAGGAATGTATAAATGTGTAAACTGGAACATCTGAACGAACTTACTTAAAATGATGGATAATTATGAAATGTAAATATTGTTGTTTTTAAGTACCTGTTTGGAAACACCAAAGGGAACTGTCTTTGAGCAATATCTTACCCTGTGGCTTTAGAAGCCAGTGCTGAGCTTCTAGAGAGCCGGGCATTGACTTCAATGATGCAGTACTCCAGTGAGGACGGGTGCAGGGCATACTGGATGTTGCACTCACCCACAATGCCCAGGTGACGCACCACTTTAATGGCCGTCTCCCGCAGCATGTGGTACTCCTCATTGGACAGCGTCTGGCTGGGCGCCACCACGATGGAGTCACCTTAGGAAGGCAGCAGGCAGGACAGATATTTCACCAAAGCTGATATTACATGTCAGCTGGACATCTCTTATATGTGAAATATGGTGAGTCAGCATCTAGTGATCTGCTCTTCATGGTCTCAATCCTCTGGAATCACCTGCACTGTTCTGACCTCTTGTATTTGTTCACACTGTAGAAAATTTCACTTCATTTTGATGATTCACTATAAATCCTTTGTGGACACTCACCTTCTGCAAAATCAAATTTACACTATTTTCCACTTATTCCAGATGTGAGTAATCAGCCAAGACATGTTTGATGTCCAGATTTTGCCTCTTTAGTTTTAAACTGTAGCTAAGAGGCTGGCATTGCTAACATAACACTAAATATCAATAGACACCCAAATCTTATCTGTGAATACATCCTCAAAACTTCTCTCAATCCACTCAGACCACATCCAGGTTTTTCTTAAGGCTGCACAGACTCCCTGATGCTGTTTAGGGCACAATGTGACTTACTGTGAAGTATAAAAATAAGGTCCCAAATGCAGTATGAGCGAATTGAGAGATGTTTCAGGATGTATTTACAAAAAAGATTTGGGTGAAAATTAATTTCTTAAGTTTGTCAGCAACATTAGTATCATAGCACCAGCAATAAACTAAAGAAGCAAAAACTGGATACCAAACATGTCTGAGCTGATCGACTTCATCTGGGATAACGGGAAATTGTGTACATTTGACTTTCCACCAAACCACTTTAACTAACATTTACCAAATATCTACTCAACTCAGCTTAAACAAATAATTCACTGAAAAATCTAATTTACACTATTGTCCCCTTGCCCTATTAGTTTAGTCAAAAGTTTGCTTCTTTAGTATTTAAACCTGCTTTTATTAGTTTCCTGAGCTTTACAACGCCTAGGTGGCACAAAGAAAGGGGAGCAGTTTGTGTTTACATGGGTCCCAAACCTGTGCAGAAAGGAGGGCGTGAGAATATGTGCCTGTTTAAGAGATAACGAACAGAAAGCTGCACCTGTGTGAATTCCTAAGGGGTCAAAGTTCTCCATGTTGCAGACAGTGACACAATTATCAGATACGTCTCTGACCACTTCGTATTCCACCTCCTTCCAGCCCAACAAAGATTTCTCCACAAGGATCTGACTGCTCATGGCCAGAGCCTGCAGCAAAACAGAGACAGAGAGCAAAAACCAGACATTAGACTGCACAATGGTTCCAAAGCCAAGTACTGAGGACCATATTTTGTTTACTCCTTGCTGTTACGCATCAGCTTATAAAAGGCTTGATATGCTGATTAGCTGAATTAGGTGTGTTAGATTAGGGAAAACACAAAAACATGCAGCACATCAGGTCAACAGTAATTTAATCAAACTAAAAGTAAATGAAACAATATTAACATGTTAGCCTTAATGTGTTTTTTGGCCTGGTTAGCATTCTCAAGTGAACGATTCCTTTAACGCAGGGGTTCCCAATCCTGGTCCCGGAGACCTTCCATCCTGCAGAGTTTAGCGCCAACCCTAATTTAACACACCCAAGCCAGGTAATGAAGGCCTTCAGAGGCATCCGAATTTCAGAGTCAGGTGTGTTGGATCTAAATACTCCAGGGCAGCAGATTTCCAGGACCAGCATTGAGCATACCTGCCTTAACAGTGACCAAAAAGAGCAGATACAATCCATATGGGATTACAAATCAGAGATAAAATAACAATCTAGAAAGAAGATGTGGTACACGACATGGCCAAAAGTATGTGGACGTCACCCCTAATTACTGAGTTCAAGTGCTTCAGTCACACCCATTATTAACAGGTGTATGAAATCAAGCACATAGCCATGCAATCTCCATAGATAAATACTGAAGGTAAAATGGGTTGTACTGAAGAGCTCAGGGACTTAAAACATGTTACTTCTGCCCCGGTCAACTGTAAGTGTAACTGTTGTGAAATGGATGTGCCTAGGAGCAAGAATAGCTCCACCATGAAATGGTAGGCCGTTGAGTGTTCAGGTGCATAGCGCATTAAAATCACCCATCACTCCCTACAGAGTTCCAAACAACCTCTAGAAGCAACATCAACACAAGAACTGTGCATCATTAGCTTTAATGAAATGAGACTCCATGGCCGAGAAGCTGCACACAAGCCTAATATCACTATGTGCAATGCCAAGTGTCGGCTGGAATGGTGTAAAGCACACCACCAAGGGGAAAGCCCTTTCCTGTTCCAGCATGACTGTGCCCCACTTCACAAAGCGAGATTCAAAAAGACATGATTTGGTGAGTTTAGTGTGAAGGAACTTCAGTGGCCTGCACAGAGCTCTGACCTCAACCCCACTGAACACCTTTGGGATGAATTGGAATATCGGCTGCAAGCCAGGCCTTCTCATCCAACATCAGTGCCTGACCTCTCAGATGGTCTTTTGACTGAATTGGCACAAATTCCCAAAGACACACTCTGTTATAGCCACTAAGGGGGAGCCAAGTCCATAATAACGCTCACAGTTTTGTAATGTGATGTCCAACAAGCTCATAAGTGTGACTGTCAGGTGTCCACATACTTTTGGCCATACAGTGTATGCATCAACAGCAAAAGTTAAGAGTCCTAGTGCTGCTGAGAACACTACCCGATATCAGCTGTAAAAATACTGGAAGATATCAACATTAGACATATGTACCACAATATTTCCTTTTTCTGGGGTTTGATAGGGATCAGACAATTCACCCATAAAACATCAGAGCCTCATTTAAATAATAAAAAAAACAAAAAATCCACATTTATTGTATATAACTGCATCCAGCATCGTCCAGATTCAGACTTGCAGTCACTTAAGAACAGGGCAAAACTTTTATTACTTTCACGTAATGACTATAACCATAATGTGGTCATAAAAACATATTGTTATGTAATTTACCCTGATAAATTATTATATTGTTTTATTACCCACCCAAATTTGTTATCACACACTCGTTCCAGACATTTGAACACTCTCACCTTGCGTGCTGTATCTTCCAGCTTCTGTTTGTCAGCACAGAGACCTGAGCCCAGTCCTCCTAGAGCATAGGCTGAGCGTAACATCACCGGGTAGCCAATTTCATCTGCTGCCTTCAGAGCATCTGCCACCTACAGGTAAACAGGGGTCATTACAACATATGACTGTAGGTAAATATGGCAGAGAAACTGCATCTGCTTTTTAAAACAGATGAAGTAGGAAATCTGAAATTTGATCACAGGGAATACACAGATAAAAGCTGTAAAAGCTGAGAAAAACGAATTCCTGATCTGTTTAAGATATTCTAAACCAATTTTAGATTTAATGTTGAGAATGTGAAATACTTCATAACATTTCTTTGAAAAACTAAGTGAAATTGAACAGAACAGAACAGGATTCTGTCTCACCGACTCCACTGCGATACTAGGGGCGATCTTCTCATTAATCTCCATCAGTTTGTCAGCAAACAGCTGTCTGTCCTCTGTGGCCATGATGGACTCAACAGGTGTGCCCAATACCTTCACCCCGTACTTCTGCAGAACGCCGCTCTGAAACAGCTCCACTCCTGGCAATACAGACAGAAACACAACAGGTAAGTTGTTCCACAATTACACAGCTCTAGAAACACTGCTAAATGTTCTATTAACTTTGCAGGGACAGTAATGGAAGCACATAGATAGTTATTATTAAACAAAATAGCAAAAATAATTCATATGATGAGTTTTTCTAAAATTTTGAATGGCAGTAGTTTAAACAGAAGTCTCTGGATGTTTTTGAAATGGTATGAAGTCACTTTACTGCGAGTGACTCACCACAGTTGAGTGCAGTCTGTCCCCCCATTGAGAGCAGGATGCCATCGGGCCTCTCGGCTTTGATCACCTCTGTCACAAACTGAGGCGTGACAGGCAGGAAGTAGACCGAGTCTGCCTGCTTGGTGCCCACCTCATTAGTCTGCACTGAAGCAATGTTCGGGTTCATGAGCACCGTCTTCAGGTTCTCCTCCTGCACAAATAAGCACATTTTGTATGTCCCTGGTCGAATGCAACACACTTAATGAGCAAAAAGAGAATTTCCTTGAATTAACTGTGTTAACAGGCACACTGAGTTGTCAAAGACCCCCTGCACTCAAAAACGTTTTTGGGTTTTTCCCCACAATTTTCTCCCCAATTTAGTCATATCCAATTCCACTAGTCAGGATTCCACCAATCACACGATACCACCAGCACCAGGAGCACAGGCTTCCTCCGAGACCTGTGAAGCTCCACCGCATCTTTTCAAACTGCCGCTAACACAACGTCACTGGACAACCGAAAACGCTCGGAGGAAAGCACCAACCGCCAGATCTGCTGGGGGGTGGGGGGTGGGGGGGGGGCATCCTACCCACCACAAGAGAGCAAGGCCAACTGTGCTTTCTTGGACTTCCGGCCACGGACGGCTGTAGCATCACCAGGGATCGAACTCAAAAACATTGTTTTTAAGGTTAATCCGTATTGGATGGCTTATTATCATGTGTCAAACATACCACCATAGCACAGAATTCACCATTGCTTGTAAGATAGATAGATAGATAAATAAATAAATAAATAAATGAATGAATGAAGGTTTGAGGGGGCGCTACAGTGCAGTTTATTTTTGTACAACATGAATAAGCTTAAACCTATCACAGTCCAATATATTAAAATATGCTATTGAGAGGATTACTGCATGGCAACAAGAAACTTATAGTCAGAAACAGCTGCACCCACTTGGCTAATTTGTTCGAGACGTTCAGACTGTGCAGTTCGCCGAAATAGATAACAGTATTTGAAAAACGACAGGGTCAAATTATGGTTCAAATTATGGCTTTAGAGCTACTTTAAAACTAACTGATTTGTTTGTCCCTTTACTAGTATAATTCATTTATAGTGTTCTCACAGACTGGAAAAGTCTGATGCCTAAAAAGGCCTTCAAAGTAAATCCTTTGACAAATGATGCTCACATGAGGAACCGAGACTCACTGTCATTTGTAGAGCACCCTACTGGACTCACCTTCATAGCTTTCACAGCCTGAGATCCTGAATAGTCAAACTCTCCAGCCTGGCCAATGGACAGGCCACCAGAGCCCAGCACTAACACCTTAGAGACCTGCACAAAGCCAGGATAACACAGCAGTACTTAATAAATACATCAATGTACATCAACGACTCCCGAATGAAACATCTGATTGTGTAACGTATTTAATTTAAAAATAAACACATCTCTCTTCTGTAATCCTCCCGTTCATAAGACTCTGTCTCCCTCACCTGGGCTCTCTGTGGAACTGCAGGCTTCTTCGGCATCACAGACTCAATGCTTGCATCTTTCCCCTTCTTTATCAGGGACATGAAGGTATCAAACAGGAACTATACGAGCCAAACAAACAAATCAAAATAAAATAATCACATAGTTTTTCACTGCATGAAGATCAACATAACCTGCAGTGTTTAAAATTGAAGACCTCTTCATGTTATAATCACATGCACCAAAACAAGCACAGCACAATCTAATCATGTTTTACACGGAGCATGAAATCAAATGTTCTGATATAATTACAGACAGATATTCATGCATGACCTTAGAAGAACAAAGGAATCAATAGGCAGCTTGTAGTGTGAATGGAACAGCTGTGTCTACCTCTGTATCTGTGGGGCCTCCCTTTGCCTCTGGATGGAACTGCGCAGTGAATATCGGCTTGGTGTTATGCATGATGCCCTAATTGAATTAAATGAAGCAAAATAACCAACAGGATTATTATTATTTTTATAGAAAACATCACAAACAATTATCTGTCATGATCATGGACATTTTCCTGACAAATTAATAAGTATATACTCATTTAAATAACTACAATTCACAATTTTGTGAATTGTAAAATCATTTTTTGAAACTTTTGTGAAAATCATCTTTTGTCGTTCATTTTATGTAACTACTAAATATAACCATCCAGGATATTCTCAGAAAAGCAAACTGTTGGGATGTACAATGATACTGAAATTAGAAATTCAGAATGCATGTTATTCATGTTTTTCATGCTCTTCTGAATAATAAATCTGCCTATTTTTTATAATTTGAATACCACAGTGATAATATACATACAAAATAACTAATGCAGAAGTCATAAATATCATTATGCAGATGTGCTTATGTTTCCTGTTCCAGTGTTGTAAACCACTATAAACTTTGTTCAGCTTCACAATAAGACAGTGTAGAGTGGACCGACCTCATTGGTTCCATCATTGGCGTTGATGAAGAGTGGACTCCAGCCTGGAGGCAGAGACTCGCTGTCTATCCCGTAGCCATGGTTCTGAGCCGTGATGAAGGCCTGCCCGGTCATCACATTTAGCACTGGCTGGTTCTGGCCTCTGCATTCAGATTGAAAAGGAGATGTGCAAAACTAATGTCAATGTGTTTTTCAAGGAGACAAAGCAAAAGTACATATTATATATAAATATATTATATATGATTTATAAGGACAATGGAAAAAGTAAGGCACACTAATATTCTCCCCATAATTTTATTAAAATCACCAGTTAATCCATTTTTTGGAATTTATCAATATATTGGCAATATAAATTGACTCAAACCTTCAACCTGCAAACATTAAAATGCTCCCCATGAAATGATTATATTTCTCTGTACTTAAAGCATCCAGTGCAGTAGCATGAAATCACAGATAAAGTAAACATATTGTAAATGTCTTGTGGCCCTTGGTTCACTAGTCCAATCATATGGCTTAACTGACTGTGTCTATTGAAGAGAATTAAGTGAGAATAGCTAGCACAATCTTCACACTCACACACTTAAATGTGTTATCTGATTATCTGATCATCAGACTACAAATGTTGTCTAATGCAGCTGTACCTGTTCCCCATGGGCAGTTTGTAAGACTGTGCACCAGTAGCCAAAGCTGTGATCTGGTTCCCCATACAGATGCCAAAAACAGGCTGGGGCCGATCACTTTCCAGCACCTGACAGGGAAAACAATGGAGCAACAATAATTAACAAAAAATATTGTTTAATGTGTACATTTGATTTTTAACTGGGTGAAAATTCTGACTGTACAATTGTGAATGTATGTAACTCTGCGTCACTTCAGCTACATTTGTACTGTTGGCAGAATTTTTAATTAGTAAAAAAAAAACTAAATCAATAAATAACAAGAGCAAATACAATATAATTTAATATACTATAATATAATATATAAATTACATCATAATTTACAGAACTGTATCAGAATAAATTGAACCTGGCTAAAATGACTACATCAAATGTCGCTCACTTGTTCCGTATGTAGTCAATCCCTGAAGGTGGGAACATTGGGACACTAATAACTCAATTATGTTTGACACGGATGCGTAAACAGTACACACAGCACCAACAACACTGACTGGGAAGCTCATCCTCTGTGCTGTGCTTAGCCATACTGTCATGTTCAGGATGGAACGTTTCAGTCCTTTTATAAACACTAATTTTCTTTGCGCTGAGACTCAGATACAACCGTGAGTCAGTCACAAATAGCAATGCTTAATGCAACTAAGCCTTTCTTCAGGCCATTAACACCACTAGCAAAAATGCTAATTTCTCTTAGAGTTGCTGGCACCGAACTAACAGTGATCCACCTAAGCAAATTCATAGCGGCTGTAGCTAAAACACAGTCAGCTGATGATTAAATATACATTAAATCTGAGCCTTTCAGTAAAGATTTAAACTTAAAGTCTTATTATTTAAGATAATTATTCCAAAGGGGCCTAGTTAGCCTGTTAGCTATAGCCTGTTAGCAGGTCAGGCTACTTTGTCATGTTTTGTTGATAAAAATGAATCAATTTAGTGCAATACTTGTGAAATATAGTGGGTGATAATTTTGGTAGCACGGGTAGTTTTTAGGCAGTTAATGGCAAACATTAACACCAAAGCATATAAGTAAAGGTAAATCAGAAACTATTGTATCTGGTTAGCTAAGTAGCTAACAGGTTGCTATGAACATTTCAGTTATTAGGAAAATGTTGATGAATGATAAACTGTGCTAAAGTGTATTGTTAGACCAAAACTCTTATTATTCGTAGGCTTTGGGCTTTTTTTATAGTCACAAGTGTGAAAATAAACATTTTTTTCCCAGGTGGAGAGGCAAGCGAGATAAAATTTAGCATTCATCCTGAATTTTAAAACTTTCTGAAAGTCGAGCTAGAGGCGTGATGCTGCTTCCCGTCAGGGAGCAGAGTGAACAGTCAGTGCCCACTGGTTTTTACGGTGCATTATGGGCACTTTCAGTAAATGAAAGTTCCACTGTGCTGAAACAATTTTGACAATTAAACACTTTAGGAAATGGCAGATTCCCTGGGCAGCACCCTGACTGTAACCGTTCTGTGTGTGGTTTTATTTCCACACAAAACTTCAAGGAAGATATGAATGACAAGAGCTGTTTTAAGATCTGGATAATCAGATTTTTGGATCTGATTATCTGTTTAAACATGTTCACATAATGTAAGTTTGGAACTATGAACGGAGTGTGTTTGTTGAAGTACCTTGCGGACATTCTGGATCAGGGTTTTAGCCAGAGACGGATCTCCAGGGCCGTTAGAGATGAACAGACCATCATAATCCAGACTCATGAGGTCCTGGTTCCATGGTACCAAGTGCACCTCGGCTCCACGCTAAGCAAACACACATGCACACAAACACAAAGCTCTGCAAAATGATGGCAAAATAGTTCCAATATTTACTGATTATATGTCCACATCGTTGTTTCTGCAATGCTTGAAAGGGCATTCCAGCCTAAGACTAGAGCTCAGTATGTTATTTGTTGTGTTATGTAATGTTCTGTAGTGCAGCACTGAAGCCCTCAGCCTCGTAGAGAAGTAATGATTTTATATAGTTTTTGTTCGTTTGCTTTCACACTGCAATGCCCAGCATGCATTACACAAATACATCACACAACTACTGGGAATCCCTTCTGTGTCGACCAATCCTGACTGCTCGCATGACAACTGAACTACTGACCAATAAATACAACCCAGCATTAGTGTAACTCACCTTGGTAGTCAAACAAGACTAAAGAAAACATCACTTCTGTCTTTATTTGGCACAAAATATACATTAGACACATTTTTTTCCTTTTAGCCAGAGAAAAGAACCCAAACAAGAAGGTAACCTATCTAAACAGTCAGGTAGCTACTTTGCTAACTGTAGCTTTCAGCTCGCTGCTCTCCACATCTGAAAAGATGTCTGAGTTGATTAATCCATTCTCTCCACTGTAATAATGATAAGACAGTTACCACAGTTATACACTGCAATAAGATACTCATCTTCCTAGGAGTAATGTTAGTTAACCGCCTGCCTTCTGTATTCAGCAGCAAATGATAAAAACATTTCAAACAGCCTCCCCCCTAAAAGTCACCCCAAAGCAGTGGCAGATTTTCAAAAAGTTCCTCATACATTGAAGATCCGTCAGCAGAAGTATAGATGAGTCAGAATGTTCGAATAGTCATGAAAGTGCATAAAATCAAACAGTATATTAGGATTTTCAGTATGTAAATTATCTCGTCTCTAACGTTGTACAATTTTATAAGAAGAATGAGACGTCTGAACTCCATACACCACCAGAGGACAGTGTAGAGCCCACGTGTCAAACACAAGGCCTGACACAATCCTATCCGGCCTGCAAAAATATTTTAATTTTATATTAATATTAGCCCGTTTCACAGTGCACTGCACTACAGTCCCTAGCATGCACTGCAACATAATGTGTGCTCTGACTCTCCTAACCCAACATTAATCTATGGGACAGCAGTTACACATCAATTCTACACAATTCTACAGCAGTCATATCACCATAATGCATTCCAGCTGCAGTTCAACCAATATAAACACTTAACATCAGCTCAGCAGCTCAGAAACTGAGCCCAAGTCTTAATGAACTTGCAGTAAGGAAAAAGGATGGCAGGTGTCTAATTCAAGCAAATAGATTGGTTTAAAAGACTGAGCTCCTGGGGATTTAAATTCTGAGTTTTTCAAGTCTCCATGTAACATTTCAAGGTCTACTACAAGTGTCTGTATTTTACTGTTGAGGTTTTTGCATATTTTGAATAAACAATGGCCAGTTTCGGTCACAACACAACATTAATTAAAGATTAAATATATATTTTTTTTCCTCAGGCCCACAGATTTTATGAGATTTTTTAATATGACCCTTTTACTGGTTGAGTTTCACACACCTGGTGTAAAGCCTGTATCTCACATTTTGGTCAAAGCTTCTTATCTGTCTACTCCTATGAAGGAAGCAACCAGCTAAAGGCTACCGAATACCGGCCGAGAAGCAACACGCTGGACTGGCAAAGAGTCACTCTACTCATATAGATTTAATGGAATAAAACTTTCAACATCATTTAGTGAATTTATCAGGTTTCATATCAGTAACTGTTCACAAACTCACTGTTTTCCAGCTAAAAGGTATGAGGGGACCTACAAACGTTAGCCGAGGCGAAAAGAGATGATCAGCATGTCCATGTACGATTCTAAAGGGGCAGCACTGCCTTCCCGCTCGCACTTACAAACAATATTTGTATTTTTTGTGGCATCATTTGAATATTTTTAGTGTGAAATCTGACTGAAATGCCCATCCCTAATCAGAGTTTTAATTCTGAAAATCTCACTCTATAGACTACTGCAGCACCGATGTAGGAGGCGAGTAGTCATGTTTACGACAGATGTAGTGATGGGTACATTTTTCATTTTGGCCAAAGTGTCCCTTTAACCTGAAGATCAAGTCTAGTTTAAGACCTACAGCTATTCTAACAGTATTCTTACTGCTAAAAGATTATTATTACAAATGCCTTGGTTAGAATAATCTCAATCTGGGTGTTTATACCAAGTTAGGATCATTAAGGATTACACACCTGTCTAAAATGACCACCTTAAATGTCCTACCTTGACCAGCAGTCTGATTATGTTGTGCTTGATCCCACAGTCCACTGCCACCACTTTGATAGGGTTGCCTTTACCGAACACTTGGGTTTCCTTGAACAGAAAGAGCAGTTACAACAGTCTGCTCTAGTGCAAACAGTCAACAACACCACTGGAGATTCTAGCTACCTTTGTAGAGACTTCTGCCACAAGATTCCTCTTGTTTGGATCAGTTATTTCTACAGGCTGCCCTTCAAACTCAATCTTCCCCAAAACTGTGCCCTGATGAAAGAAATAAAACCATACAATCATAAGAAAACAAGAAATGTGACATTTAAAGAAAAACTGTTAAGGCCTTCCATAAGAGAGGAAATGAATGAGGTGCCTACCTTGTCTCGGATGATCTTAGTCAGCATCCTAGTATCCATGCCGTATAGAGCTGGCACCTTCAAAACGAGTAGCATCAAACCAAATGCAATAGCATCTTTAATATAGTAAAGGACTAAAACAGTCTGCTCATAGGCCCATATGAATAAAAAAGGAAGCAGAAGTGAGCCCAGATATTCTAGACCCCATGAGTCAAACACAAGGCCTTCGGGCCTGACAATACCATCTGGCCCACAGAAGCATTTTAATTTTCCATTAATATTGGCTCATTTTACAGTGCACTGCACTGCATTTCCCAGCATGCACTGCAACGTAATATGCGCTCGGACTCTCCTACCCCAACAACAGTCTACACAATTCTACAGAGTTGCACACCAGTCCTATCACCAAACAACACTGCAGTTCAGCCAAAAAAAGGCACTTAACGTCAGCTCAGCAGCTCAGAAACTGAGCCCAAGTCTTAATGAACTTACAGTAAAGAAAGGATGCCAGGTGTCTAGTTTGAGCAAACAGGTAAGTTTAAAAGACTGAGCTCCTGGGGACATTTAAATTTTGAATATCTCCAGTATTCATGTAATATTTCAAGGTCTACTGCAAGTGCCTGTATTTGACTGTTGAAGTTTTTGCATATTTTGAATAAACAATGGTCAGTTTGGTTTATGGCAAAATGTTAACTATAAATGAAATAAAATATAGGTGTTTTCTGGCCCACGGATTTCATGAGATTTTCTAATATGGGCCTTTTAGTGGCTGATTTTGACACCCTTGTTCTAGACCAGGGTTTCTCAACCTGTGGGCTGCGGACCACCAGTGGGCCGTGAAGCACCTTGGTCCAAGGGCCTGTACTCAGCGGAAGACAGTCATTTGTAGTGGGCCGGTAAAGATGTATAAATAAAATATCTCAGTCACAGGCTAATTAAACGTCATCAGTTTGAGACGACACAGCTGTGGGCGCGCAGTGCAGAGTTAGCCAGAGAAGGAGGGGTTCCTCAGGGTGTTTCTCCCACCTTGTTTGTTGACGACCTATCAAACTTTTTTCTTTAGTTCGCCCCGTTTTGACGTCTGAACACACCACTCATATTCAGGTCTGTATCAGACGCCGGTTTAGCAAAACCCGTGGATCTCGGAAGCAGAGATCATGTAAGGATCATTATTATTATTGTTGTTGACTGTGATGGCGCTGATCCAAAAGCCCACTGAGTGGAGTGGGTTTATTTCAAATGAGGCGCTAAAACCCTCAAAACTAAAGAGACTCCAGACCAAACAGTGACTTCTGTGGGAGCCACAAGTGTTTTTTGCAGTGAAAACCTGATGGACTGCAGCTTCAAATCACGGTCCACATCTACATCTCCCTTTTTTTCTTTTTCTTCTTTTTTGACATCTCTGCAAACATATGTTTTTTTTTTAACATAACTACAAATTTTGGTTTCTGTGATTGAAGTAAAATCGACGATCTGATCTTTACAGGCGCTGATTCACAGGTTTTCAGTGTGAGCAATTAAGAAAAAAAACTATTTAAAACCTCTTATTCTCCAGGGTTAACTTAGGTTTTTCCATCTAAATTTACATGTCCAAATTCTAAGGCAAATTATTCATAACTGCATTGAATAAATATAAAGTGTTGGCGTTTTTTCTGTAAAAGTTCCCCTCAGAACAGAAAATGTGTTTTATGATCATAAACATAATGTCATATGCTTACAATTTACTGCTGAAAGCCAAAAATCTTAGACGCTCTTTGTATTTTTTTATAAAAATAATTTTTACAGAGCAGATCACTGAAGAGACGCCATTTATAGCCCAGATTTGTGGAAAATGGGTCGACTTTCAGTAGAAAAAAAAATTCAGAGTTCAGCTTCTTTTATTATAAGGGTTTAAAATTACATCACCCATCTATTTGACTGGAAAGAAGACAGTTACAGCTCTCATACGACCCCCACCTTTTGAAAGTCGCCTATGAAATATGAAAGTTATGAAGAATATGATGAAGTGCGTTTTGGAATCACCGGTGGTTTCATGGAGTTAAAAAGGTTAAAAAAAAGTTGGTTTTATTTCTTTTGTGGGCTGCTATGCTTTACAGTTACAAACAGGTGGGCCATGGGGTGGAAAAGTTTGAGAACCCCTGTTCTAGACCATTGGTTCTTGATTCTGGTCGTGGAGTACGACTGCCCTGCCCTGCATGTTGTAGTGTTGTCACCCACTTGAACTTCGTTAGTTGATTAAAGGCCTCAGGGGTGCTGGGAGCAAGGAAGCTATAAAATGTGCAGGAAAGAAATGTTTAGCTGATACTACTTGTTTAACCAGCTGGTCTCAGTCATGTCTAATCAAATCTGCAGCCACATCGGCCCTTTGCGGGTAAGATCGGCCACCCCGGCTTAGATTTCTCTAAAATTTCAGCCTCAAAAAACCTTTAAAATTCAACCACAGTTAACTCGTTTTATGACAGCTCTTAAGACCTTTCTCTGCTAACCCACTCTAGCTATTATTAATCCTCATGTGCATGCAAAAGACAGAAAATTCAGTGTTGGATTGAGCAAAGCTTGAAGCCCCAGGGAACATGTACAAAGTATGTCCCGTGAATAACCTTCCAATGACCAATAACCGACGGATTTCTCCTCCCTCTATATAAACTGGGCAGTCCTAGTCTTGAGCAGTGCTTATGTAAGCAATCCCCTCAATGACCAGCACAGTTTTGTGGTTCCCCTACTCAAACAGACCCACTAACCCTGGCAATTAACCGATGAGTTGAATCAGGTGTGTTTCAGCAGTCAAATCACCAAACTCTGCTGGACATCGACCCCGGAGTTGTGCACCCCTGCCCTAAATGCACACCCAGCAGCGGAGGGAATAAGTCAATAAGAACCTTAACATTATGACCACCTCTCGCTTATTGTCCATTTTATCAGCTCCACTTACTATATAGGTGCACTTTGTAGTTCTACAGTTACAGACTGTAGTCCATCTGTTTCTCTGCATACTTTGTTAGCCCCCTTTTACCCTGTTCTTCAGTGGTCAGGACCCCCATGGACCCTCACAGAGCAGGTACTATTTGGCTGGTGGATCATTCTCAGCACTGTAGTAACACTGATGTGGTGGTGGTGTGTTAGTGTGTGTTGTGCTGGTCTGAGTGGATCAGACACAGCAGTGCTGCTGGTGTTTTTAAACGCCTCAGTGTCACTGCTGGACTGAGAATAGTCCACCAACCAAAAATATCCAGCCAACAGCGTCCTGTGGGCAGCGTCCTGTGACCACTGATGAAGGACTAGAGGATGACCAACACAAACTGTGCAGCAGCAGATGAGCTATCGTCTCTGACTTTACATCTACAAGGTGGACTGACAAGGTAGGAGTGTCTAATAGAGTGGACAGTGAGTGGACATTGTCAAACTACAAAGTACACCTATATAGTAAGTAGAGCTGATAAAATGGACTATGAGTGTAAGAACAAGGAGGTGGTTGTAATGTTATGGCTGGTTGATGTAAATGTTTTTAGTGAGCCACAGTCACAGCAGGATCTACAGCACTGCCTGTAAGCCTGTTTCAATCAATTCCCCCCACTTTACTCACACTGTTGTGTTTAGTTCTGCTTCAGTGTAGCGAAGCAGGCTGGGAATGTTTCTCTAAAACAGTGATTCCCACCCCAGCAATCAGGGCCCCACTGTTCTAGACAAGGCCATTACAATCACAGCACAGCGCTCAGTAATGTCACTTTTCCACATACCTTCTCTTCTTGCAGCCACTGTGCCAGAGACTTCACTGAGTTCCAGTGGCTGAAGTCATGGCTATAGTCCTGCACCAGCAGTCCCGACACCTGCCAACACCACATCACATAAATACTGAGTCACTCATGATGTAAATACAACTTTTTAGGGATACATTTATACAGAATTTCCAACGATAATACCAATATCAATACATTTTAAAACAAGTTCACACTGTAATCTATACATGAAGTGCAGTAAGCTTAAAATCTGATATATCGTGCACCCAACAAGTTTTTATATCAGTGTTACATATTAATTATGAGGATGTAACATTCTTCATTAACTACATTTCCATCCAAAGGATTTTTCACAGAAAATGTTTAACGTTTCAAAAAGTTTCTAAACATACACTGCAAAAAATGGTATCTTGTCAAGTGAAATTATCTAAAATCTAGTTAATCTATCTTACAGTTCTAATTTTGACATGGTTGTGCACCTACTATAAGATTGTCTAGCTTATTTCTTGACATTATTTACTTGTTTCAGGTAATTTTATCAAGTAAAATTGTCTCACTACACTGGCAGACAATTTTGCTGGTTTCAAGCACATTTCTTAGAACAAGCAACATTATCTGCCAATATAGTGAGATAAATCTACTTAACAAAATTACTCAAAACAAGTTAAAAAATGTAGAAATAAGTTAAATAATCTTAAATTAAGCTTACAACAATCTCAACAAGAGAAATATTAGATATATTGACCATATTTAAGATAATTGTACTTGACAAGATACCATTTTTGCAGTGTAGGATAAGGAAACAGATTTTTTTGGTAATATTTGTTGAATGTTAACCAAACCTATTTTTCCTTCAGCTTTAGCAGATAAACTGTTTGTCAGTACCTGAAACGTTGCAAAACCCTACACTGCAAAAATGATTTTCCCCAGGAAAAAAATGCATTTATGTGATGGATATTCCTCACATGCCTCTTACAACAAACACAAACAGCATGGCGGAGAGGTTTAGCTGGACTGAGAAGGTGAACATAATGTTTTTATGTTTTTTAAATTTTGAAAGGATCACCGCCACTTTTTTTTAGCTCTGACAGAGAGAAATGTCCAGAAAAAGGTTACAGCTGTTCTAAAAGGAAAGCGCTCAAACAGCTCTACGTGGCAGGGAAACGAGATCTCTTGCGCAACTGTTCTGATGGGAAAAAAAAATAATAAGACGAAGAATAATAAAGTGAAATTATAATCAAATAAACAAAATTTCTTTATCTGGAAATTCAGGTTATGGGGAACTCAGTTAAAGGACATTAAATATGCAACATTAAATAAGTCAAACAACATTTTTTTTATCAATAATAACATACATGATCATTTTTTGCAGTAAACGACTTCATTATGTAAAAGTCATTACTACAACTCAGTTTGATGAAAAATAAAACAGCTGCAAAACGGTTTCAATGCTTTTTTCAGTGCATCACTTGCAGAAACATAGCTTCTGTTACATTTCAGAGAGAAAATGAGAATAAAATTGAATGGTTGCTGGAAAACGAGAGATCAGAAATGGCTTAAACGGCGCCACCGCCATCTCAGGCGCAACACTGACATATAAATGTAAACAGTTTCCAGTTTCCTTCAGGATAAATAAAAATTATCTTATCATAAAATTGTTTCAGTGAGTGCACAATCACTTGAAAGCCACTCCTACTGCACTACTAACGATGAGTATAATATAAGCAACACTGACTTAGCTGCAAGTGGGGCTTCAAATCACAAACCACTACACTAGATGATGACAATGTAGGGAAAGACACCCACCTGAATGCGATCAGACTCCACATTCTTTCTCAGTCCCAACTCGTCAAGCTCCTCTGTGTTGGGTACACCATAGTTGCCCACAATGGGGTATGTAAGGGTGAGGATCTGACCTCTGTAACTGGGATCTGTGAGGGCTTCTGGATACCTGAAAGAGAAATAATCAGCATTAAAACACATCATCACATCAGCTTAGACTCAATAATACAAAACACATTTATACCCTTATCTTAACTTTATGTTCTAGGATTTATCATGGATTTTATCTTGTACTGTCTTTGTTTCTGTTTTGTTCTGACATTGTTTACTGTCTTAAAACTTTGTTAATGACCTTCTTACTTTATGTTTTGCAAAGTGCTATATACACAAATCAGGCATAACATTATGACCACCTCCTTGTTTCTACGCTCATTGTCCATTGTCGTTTTATGACAGCTCTTAAGACCTTTCTCTGCTAACCCACTCTAGCTATTATTAATCCTCATGTGCATGCAAAAGACAGAAAATTCAGTGTTGGATTGAGCAAAGCTTGAAGCCCCAGGGAACATGTACAAAGTATGTCCCGTGAATAACCTTCCAATGACCAATAACCGACGGATTTCTCCTCCCTCTATATAAACTGGGCAGTCCTAGTCTTGAGCAGTGCTTATGTAAGCAATCCCCTCAATGACCAGCACAGTTTTGTGGTTCCCCTACTCAAACAGACCCACTAACCCTGGCAATTAACCGATGAGTTGAATCAGGTGTGTTTCAGCAGTCAAATCACCAAACTCTGCTGGACATCGACCCCGGAGTTGTGCACCCCTGCCCTAAATGCACACCCAGCAGCGGAGGGAATAAGTCAATAAGAACCTTAACATTATGACCATCTCTCGCTTATTGTCCATTTTATCAGCTCCACTTACTATATAGGTGCACTTTGTAGTTCTACAGTTACAGACTGTAGTCCATCTGTTTCTCTGCATACTTTGTTAGCCCCCCATTACCCTGTTCTTCAGTGGTCAGGACCCCCATGGACCCTCACAGAGCAGGTACTGTTTGGGTGGTGGGTCATTCTCAGCACTGCAGTAACACTGATGTGGTGGTGGTGTGTTAGTGTGTGTTGTGCTGGTCTGAGTGGATCAGACACAACAGTGCTGCTGGAGTTTTTAAATGCCTGACAAGGTAGGAGTGTCTAATAGAGTGGACAGTGAGTGGACACAGTGTTTAAAAACTCCAGCAGCACTGCTGTGTCTGATCCACTCAGACCAGCGCAACACACACTAACACACCACCACCACGTCAGTGTTACTGCAGTGCTGAAAATGATCCACCACCCAAACAGTACCTGCTCTGTGAGGGTCCATGGGGGTCCTGACCACTGAAGAACAGGGTAAAAGGGGGCTAACAAAGTATGCAGAGAAACAGATGGACTACAGTCTGTAACTGTAGAACTACAAAGTGCACCTATATAGTAAGTGGAGCTGATAAAATGGACAATGAGCGTAGAAACAAGGAGGTGGTCATAATGTTATGCCTGATCGGTGTAAATCCATGTTACATTTCTATTTCACACTAACACAATTTTTGGCAGCAGTAAGTAAAGTGAAAAATAAAATTACGTTATGTTTTATTCTTGTAGAAAAGTGGAATAAATCATTTCAATGCACCACTTTTTTCAGTGAAAGTAAGATCACCAGTGTTTACTTCATTCACAGCTTAAGTTAACTCGTCATCTGAACTTTCTGACCACATTTTCTCACAGATTCCTCTCAGTGACCGTATTCAGTGTTTTTCAGGCTCACAAAGCTGCGGACGAGCCTCCTCACCCCACAAGCCCTGTGTTGAACACCAGCTCTCCAGCCGCTGACCACCTATGGCCAAAGGAGTAGCCCTTCATCACTGTGCCATCCTCGAGTACCAGGTGTGCCGTCTGGGCCTGTAAACAAAGACAGCCTGTACTAGTGACACACTTCTGTTCTCAGCAAAGTGTTGCAATTACACGAGGCTTTGTCGCTGCATGCAGGAGTGATGCAATATTACACCAGCCTGGCAGGTTCGGTGTTCCAGAAAGCCAGCAATGTGTTTCCAGCTTACAGACCACAGGGAATGAGATATACAATAATAAGAAATACAAGAAATCCTGCTTAAAAACTAGCTGGGCAACAAAGAGGATTAAAGGCAGGAAAGCAGTACGTGGGCAAGTGTGAGTCGAAGTCAAATTCAGCTCACAAACTTTGCTTTAGCCCAGCATTTATATGTTCTGTTTATATATTAGTTCATTTATACATTCATTCATTCTCTCTGGCTAGATTTAGCCAGCTACTTAGCAAGCTAAAGCTTGTTGTAAACATTTCTGAACCAAAACGTCCAGTCAGGTAACATTAATTCAACAAGTCAAGGCCACATTCATGTCATTCGTCTTTGATATATAAGAGAAACACAGTCCTGATGAACAGCCAAGACAAACTAGTTAGATAATGGTTAATCTAGAAAGCTATCTAGGTTAGCTAGTTAACTGGTGGCTGGAAAATACATTTATTAGTTAACTTAACTGACACTTAGTGAGGTGTGTTGGCCTTAATGTGAATTATATGAGCTGTGTGAGGGTTAATAAGTGCTGCTAGAGGGTTAAATGTGAATAAAGTGAGCTGTTATAAGGAGTTAATGTGAGTAATGTGAGAAATTAGAGTTAATGTTGATAATATTAGTGTTGTGAAATGAGAATAATTTGAATGATAATAGTAACATTACTGTCAGTGTGAATATTAGCTAGTACTGTGAGTCAATGTGAGAGATATTAGCTAGTACTGTGAGAGTTAATGTGAGAGATATTAGCTAGTACTGTGAGAGTTAATGTGAGAGATATTAGCTAGTACTGTGAGAGTTAATGTGAGAGATATTAGCTAGTACTGTGAGAGTTAATGTGAGTGATATTAGCTAGTACTGTGAGGGTGAATGTGAGAGATATTAGCTAGTACTGTGAGGGTGAATGTGAGTGATATTAGCTAGTACTGTGAGGGTGAATGTGAGAGATATTAGCTAGTACTGTGAGAGTGAATGTGAGAGATATTAGCTAGTACTGTGAGGGTGAATGTGAGTGATATTAGCTAGTACTGTGAGAGTGAATGTGAGAGAGATTAGCTAGTACTGTGAGGGTGAATGTGAGTGATATTAGCTAGTCCTGTGAGGGTGAATGTGAGAGATATTAGCTAGTACTGTGAGGGTGAATGTGAGAGATATTAGCTAGTACTGTGAGGGTGAATGTGAGAGATATTAGCTAGTACTGTGAGGGTGAATGTGAGAGATATTAGCTAGTACTGTGAGAGTGATTGTGAGTGATATTAGCTAGTACTGTGAGGGTGAATGTGAGAGATATTAGCTAGTACTGTGAGGGTGAATGTGAGAGATATTAGCTAGTACGGTGAGGTGACCGTGTCCGTTACCTTCAGGCTAAATAAGCGTTGAGATGGTGACGTCGGTCCGCGCGGCCAGCGGCGCTTCAGCAGCGCGGCGGCTCCTCTCAGCATTTTAGTCCGGTTTTCTCGCGCTAATTCCAGTACTTTAATCGCACGCGGGACTCCGTGCGTTGAGAGAGACGGTGCACGGCGAGCTGAGCCGAGTTTAAGAAACGCCGAGCGCGGAGAAACAGAAAAAAATCACTGAATGAATGAGTGACGTGTCGTCGTCGCCCCAAACGCTGAGGGCGCGAGCACCAGACCACACCGCTCCGCCCCGCCCACTCCACCACAGTCCGCCACACTCCTGTAAACACGTGGGGAACTTTGAGAGTGTCTAACAGCGCCGGTCCGGCCTGCACCCGAAAAGTGCAACAAAGTGCCCTTTACGAGGCTGGAGTCAGCTTCTCATTCGCCAGATTCTTGTTCGAATTTGCCCGTTCCACCTTAAATAGTGCAGCAGCTGTTGCACCATTTAAGGTGGAACGGGAAAATTCGAAAGAGAAGCTGGCATATGGCGCTAAAACGAAGCGAAGTGCATGTAAAACGAAGCTTTATTTGGACGCATATTCATTTGCCTATTTTAGTGTTACCCATAAAAGACTCAAAGGCAGCTAAACAGCCTGAAAACACGTCCGCAATAACTAAGTTAAAGGGGAATTTCACCGATTTTTCAAAAATATCTGCATGATTCAGTGGTGGAGATGGAAACAGTCATTCAGAGAGGTTTGGTGTGAAATGGTTCATTGTAGAGAAACTTACAGACTTAGATTTCTTTACAGTGGTGGTGATAGGAACCAGGGGTCACAGTGTCAACAACACAAATACAGCCATTTTATTTACTATCCAAAACCACCAGTGTACTTACATGTGTCTTCTGAGCTTTCCTGTGTAATGTTGATGATGGTAAAGCAGTGGAACATCTAAAAAAAAGAGAATTTAGGGGACTATTTTGAACACCTTAGAACACCCTTCATGTGTCTTTCCACCGTGAATGGATTAAAATACTTTTTTAATCCTAAACTTTATCACAAAACTACCGTAAAACAGTGTCTCAGATAGCAGGCAGTATACTACTAACTGTTTCATGTAGTAACCTTCTGTGAGGGAGCTTTTAAAGGTGGACGTCTGGTTCCTATCACCGCCACTGTGAACAATTCTGATGGTGCATTTCACACCAAACCACTCTACTTTGTTTTCATTTTAACCATTAGATATCCAGAAATATTGAAAAATTGGTGGATTTCCCCTTTAAATCCCTCTATAAATCAGGGGTTCTTAATTCTTGTCCTGAAGTTCCCTGTGCCCTGAACATTTTAATGTTTTCTTGCTCTTGCATAACTTACCACACTGAGTGCATGCTTTTGTAGTGAGGTAACACAAGGGTTTGGAGACACCCTCTCACTTGACGGGGAATCTCCACCGCTTTCTCAAACTTTCTGCGTAATTAAACGGTTAAGATGTAAATAAAGTCATTCAGACAGGTTTAATGTGAAATGCTCCGTTCTAGAGAAGCTTGCACCATCAGAATTGTTCACAATGGTGGTGATGGGAACCAGGCGTCTAAAGCTGCCTCTGAAAGCCACCACGTAAAGATAGCACACAAAATGGTTTCAAATACACTGCACTATCACTATTTTACCATAGTCAACATTACGTATAAAAACACAGAAGAGACACATACATCAGACCACTCTGAATGACTATGTTTACATCTGCATGATTGAACTATACATTTAAATTTTGAAAAAAAGGGTGGAATTCCCCTTTCAACACAGGGGAGGGTTCTTAATTAGCTGATTACACTTTAAAGCAGGGAAACACCAAATTATACAGAGCAGGGGGACCTCCAGGATCAGGATTGTGAACTTTTAAACTATTATAATATTTCAATTTTAAATGTGGACTATGCTGATGTTTAACGGTGTAATATTTGGTGAGCTATACTGACACCAACCAACTTTATTACACACAGACCAACCAAGCACATAACCAACTGTGTGGCCACGGCACCAAATGTAATGCATTTAATAGAACAGTAAGTGCAAAACATAACATAAATGCAGCAAAACTGTATGAAAAGAATGCAGAAATAACTACATTAACTGAACAATAAACTTTAAAGGTGTAAAAAACAACTAAAACCAGTGTTCAGCCTTAAGCCGGGTTGTGATATAAGAACGACTGCATGTGTCATAAAAAGACAAATTCAACGAGAACATCTGTAAACATGAGACAGTATATAGTAACTGCTCATTTTCTTATTTTCCAACTTTTCATTATTTTATTAGTAGTTATTACTAGTTTTTCTCCCCTTCATCTCAACTCAATCCCTAGTTACCATCTTCATCTGTAGTCTCGGTTTTGGGGTGCACACCCAGCTGGATGTGTTCTTCGAGGCTGCGATGAGTTCTCCGAATGACATTCCGATCACTGTGGAATGTGGCTCCTGTTTCCCAAGAGATACACTGTGTGTCTGAAAGTTTGTAGACCGCTGACCATTTCATTTCTTCTGAGATCAAGGATATTGATAAGAAATTTGCCCCCTTTAGCTACAGAAACAGCTTCTACTCTTCTGCAAAGGCTTTACATTAGATGTAGGAACATTGCTGTGAGGATTTGATTGTATTGCTTTTAAACCATGTTTTTAATCCTATCTTACTTATGGTTCCTTGCTCCTTGGTCTTATGGCAAGTATACTAATCTTTAAAGGTAAAGTGTTGATTTTAAAGCTAAAGTATGTAGTTTATAGGTGAAGCATGTCAGTGTTAGAAGGTAGTGTGTCAGTGTTTGAAGGTCAAGTGTACTAAAAGCAATGTCAAGCATGTTGATCTTTAACAACAATTGATGTGTAAAGGCAATATAAAGGAAAGTTCATATGTATCAGAAAACAATTTTAAATATGACTAAATGGCTTACATTTTTGATGCAACCCTGTTTCCAAAAAAGGTTGTGATGCTGTGCAAAATGAAAAAAAAAGAGTGCAAATCATTTAAACCCTATATTTAATTGAAAACAGTACAAAGACAATATATTAAATGCTGAAAGTGGGAAATTTTGTTGTTTTTTGAAAAATATTTGCCCATTTTGACAAAAAAGTTGGGATGGGGGCAACAAAAGACTGGTAAAGTTGTGTAATGCTAAAAAAAAACTGGTGGTCGATTGGCAACAGGTCAGTAATGTGTTTGGATATAAAAAGAGCATCTCAGAGATGAGGAGGGGTTCACCACTCTGTGAAAGACTGCGCAGGCAAATAATGCAACAACTTAAGAATAAAAAGAACTTGAGGATTTCATCATCTATGGTACAAAATATGATTAAAAGATTCAGAGAATCTCTGTATGCAAATCACTGGAAGGCTCAGAAACACTTCTGAAAACCACTGTCTGTGAGCACAGTTCATGACTGCATCCACAAATGCAAGTTAAAACTCTGCCATGCAAAGAAGAAACCACATATAAACAGGATCTAGAAACACTGCTGCCTTCTCTGGGCCAGAGCTCTTTTAAAATGGATTGAGGTGAAGTGGAAAAGTGTCTTGTGGTTTCCGGTGTGGAAATCATGGACACCGCATCTTTTTTGAAAATGACAGAAAAGCATGTTAATTAGGTTGGCCTATCAATTGGAAGCAATTGAAGATTTACATTGCTTACTGTAGGCTGGTGTCAGTAATGCATATCATAGTATAAGATGAATTCAAACAAAGACATCTGGAAAAAAACACAGCCAGGTGTTTATGTTTTAAGACACATGTTTCTTTTTGGGTGAACCTATGGAAGGCAAAGCAACTGTATGGGTGGATACATCATGTTTTTAGAAAGACGTTTAATCATTCACTGACTTATATAAACCTAGAGTATTCCCATTACCAGATTCATTAAGTGTATGCAAGCACATTGGATAAATGTTTCCCAAATCTGTTTTTTTTTTCCTCTTTTCAGTTTGCTATCAGATTATTTTATACATGTAAATGGACTCTGCTGCATGTCTACTGTGGTCTCTTCACTAGTCCACCCAGAGAAAGGTTGTATATGTGTAACTTTAGAAAGCTGACCCTTGCTCCTTCTTCCATGTATGCTATATGTAGCAGCAATGGAATACTCTACTTTGAAGTAGTGGATTTAATGTGGCTAACTGTTAGCAAGAGCAGCTAGCAAGCACAGAGCAATATATCTAGAACACTTAGCAAGCTACATAAATACTCATAAATACCATGCTTCAATTATCAGTCAGAATGGTTTTAAATTATGATGTCTCTAACAGTAAGTTTTTGTATTACTTATTTAAAAGGGAATTCTACTTTTAAAAATGTAAAATTCAATCATTTATATGTTATCAACGTCTTTCAGAGTGGTTTGGTGTGAAACTATTTGTTCTAGAAACTATTTGTTTGTCCAGTGGTGGAGATAGAAACCAGACATTTGGAGAGTTTAAAGCCTCTAAAAGCTCCCTCACAGACAGCTATTGCATAAAATAGTTACAAATGCACTGCCTGGTGTCTGAGACACTGTTTTATATAGATAATTTTGCCCTAAAACATACTTTTCATGGCAATAGGCAGGTGCAGGGCATGTTAAGGCAAAATAGTTTCCAAAGAAAACTTGCCATTATCATAACATTACAAACATTATCAGCGTTACCATTATCAACATTATGAACATTATCAGCATTACCATCATCAACATTACCAACATTATCAACATTACCAACATTATCAGCATTACCATCATCAGCATTACCATGATCAGCATTATCAACATTATCAGCATCACCATTATCATTACCGATATTATCAACATTATCAGCATTACCATCATCAACATTACCGATATTATCAACATTATCAGCATTACCATCATCAACATTACCGACATTATCAACTTTGCCTACATTACCAACATTATCAGCGTGATCAAGAATATCAATATTACCTACATTACCAACATTATCAATATTACCAACATTATCAATGTTCTCAACATTAGAAACATTAGAAATATTATCATTATTACCAATGTTATCAACATTACTAGCATTATCAACATTACCAGCATTACCAGCATTATCAGCATTATCAACATTACCAAAATTACCAGCATTGTTAACATTATCAACATTATCAACATTGTCACATATAGTGGTTCACATCGAATCACTTTAAATGACTTTGTATACATCTCAATGACTGAAAATTTAAAAATGTAGAGTCTTTTAGAGTTACACTGTTTTTTGTGATGTCATGCAAAATTATGCATATACATATATCTTCTTATTCAG